GGGGCGGAGAGGGAGGAGAATGGTGCTGATGTGAGGTGAGAAGCATGAAGGAGGGCCAGCGACAGCAACCAGGAAGAATGGATTAACACACTTGGATGAAAGCTTCCCTCACACATACACACATTCACGCACACACACACACCGCAGACACACAAACACAATCACACCAGGGAAGTCGCTGGCCTGCAGGTAGAGGCCACCTTTTAGGAAGTTGTTTTTTTTCTCTTCCTCTTGGTTTAACAAAAAAAGAATCCCTTTTCCCTCACATCTTCACCTACCTACACACGGTGATGAATGGACCACACTATGACATTTAGTACATGTGTGCTGAAGTCCACCGCTTGAAAAAAGGATTCAAGCTAAAAAGAAAAGTGAGATGCATTGATTTTCCTTAAATGTCAGGAGTAAGCGCTATTATAAAATGCTACACCCTTTGAAATTTCAGAGGACATATCCTTCAGCCTGAGCTGATGGCCTAAAGAACACAACAGAAAGTTTGTTCACTTTTAAAGGCTTTTCTTTTCATACTGATTCAGACACTTGGCTTTGTCCTGTAACCGGAGCTCCCCTAACCTTCAGCGAGGAGATATGGCTTAACTACCACCCGATGTCCCTGACGACCAGCATCCACCATCAGACTGTGTCGTCCCCACAACCACCGCCGTCCTCATTCATACACGGCCTGCTCCGACCTCCAGCTCAGCAGCAAGGAAGTACAAGGACAACAGGAACACGAGGAATACAAAGGAGAAATCCCTCCTGCATATTATCACATCTCCCCCGATCCCATTTTTCTGAACAATGAGTGTGTTCTTTAACCTGCTCTTTTGTAAAGCGTCTCAAGATAACACTTATAAATTGGCACTATACAAATAATTATTGATTGACCTGAAGAGAGTCAGAATAATATGAGGAACAGAGTGATGATGACATGAAGCAAAGAGTAATGGTTAAACTCAAACTCACAGAGCTGAAGTGAGGACAGGACTTTATTACATTGACTACCAGGAGAGCTACCAGGACTCCCCATTACTCTCTCATTTCAAGCTAACATTGGAGCAAAGACTGCATTGAAGACATGGACATAGCAACGTTCACATTACCTATCAGCTTTTGGTAGGGACGTAAAACTCTCACCATTCTATCCGAATGGATGCTACAATCCAATTCAGGGACAATTCATGAAAATACAGAAGGATTGAAAGTGTTGAAATGCAATTCTGGCCATTCGATTCAATACGATTCAAAGTGATAATTGGACCCAAAGTCATCTTCTAATTATATCAAATTATAGCTTGTGTTTCATTTCAAAATAAAATGTACTTGTGTTCATTATTATTTTTTGTTACAAACAAATATTCTGTCATGATGGATATTGTGCAAAGTCTTGGTCATCCACCAACGTGGCAAGAAATACAATTTGTTACCGGCACAGAAATCTTAGCTCTTCTTTGGGTTGCATCTCATTTTGTGAGCTTTGTAAAGCGGTGCTTGAACTTAAAACAGAGTACTCAATTCCTCCAAGAGGTGAAGATTAAATCCAGTGTAACTATAAGGAATGAAGTAATGAAAAACAATTAATTACACTATTTTTTTCTCCTTTCATGATTTCTCTGTGATTGTCACGCATGACATTCAGGCATCGGTTGTGATTGACACAAATACATAGATCTATGTTCTTTTCTGAAGAGGTTCACTGCACTTTATAAACTACTTGACAGTTTGATGATATATTTTCCATTTCATTTTTGTGATGTTTGTCCATCTCCTTTCTTGGAGCAGAAGATTAAGATTCAAAGTAAGTGAAACATGCATTACTATGTGATGAATGCATATAGATAAAGAGAAAGAGAGGGGGAAGGAGCTCTGTGTGCCAGGTTCCCCAATAGTCATGGCCTATAGCAACATAACTAGGAGCTTGTCCATGTCTGAGAGTGAGTCCATAAGCTTTATCAAAAAGAAAAAGGAAAGTTTTAAGCCGACTCTTAAAAATAGATATGGTGTCTGACTCACAGACCCTGGTCGATAATTCCAAAGGAGAGCAAAGGATAGCTGAAGTCTATACCTGGTTGGTGGCTGCAGAACGTTACGGATGGGGATATTCAACCCCTGTTTGACGTTCACCAACAGTTTTAAGTCTGGTCAGTATGCCTGCAACTGCAAGTGTTGCTTTGGCAGAATGTGGCTGCTCCCCTGCTCAAAACACAAAACTTGTCATTGAAACTTTCAGGATTTTTAACCTAAGTAGTATTGAATTGTTTTTGTGGTGTATTTAAAGGCAACTTAGTTTATTCCCCACAGGATCTGGAAAGGTCAGAGTACACAGTGACAGGTTTTGAGTGCTTTTTTAAAGTTCAGAAGGAAAAAGGTGATGAGGACGGTTCAGCAAAAACACATCATGTTCACATGTTCTTGCATTTTAGAATTTTTGGATGTTTTGAGATTTTTATCTGCTGATTATTCTGCCTTTGAGGACACAAATACTGAATTGAATGTGAACCATGTTTGTATTTGTCTGTTCTTTTTCTCAGTGGCACAGAGATTGCTGTTTGGATTGGGTTGTTTGTGTTTATACTTTAGCACATGGAATAAATTCAAATGAAGCAAATCATTATGGAGAAGAAAAAACATGCACAATGTTTGATTCATTTTTTAAGCTTTACAATATTTGTTTTATTGGAATACCCACATCTTTCATGGTTTGTAACATAATATTCTAGATGAAAAACAAATAGGGTATATCAGTGATGCACGCCAGCACTTATGTTAAAGGTCACATATTATTCTCCTTTTCAACCAGTTTACATAAGCCTCCTTTAAATAAGCTCCCCAAAACATGCGTGTGAAGTTTCTTGTTCTAAATCCACTCTGATCCTGTATTTGATCATGTCTATAAACCCCTCTATTTCAGCCCTGCTCAGAACAGGATGTTTCTGTGTCTGTACCTTTAAATATGTAAATGAGCTGTGTCTGACCACGCCCCCTCTCTGGAAGAGGATGCTCCTCAGGTTTTCTCGCTCCATGTCCTATTGTTTACGGTGAGAAGGCAGACTCAGAGGGCAGAACAAACACCTAGCTGTGGGAGTGTCACCCACCTGGGGGAGGGGTTACTGCCCTTTGTGATGTCATGAAGGGAAAATCTCCAAGCGGCCTGTTTGAACACACATTTTCTGAAAAGTGAAGCAGGTAAAAGACAGAGAGGATGGACTTTTCTCATGATTGGGGGTTTGAAGACAGACTAATGACACATATTAGTGTTTTAAAAAACAGTATATATTGTTTTTTCACAGTAAGTGACCTTTAAAGGCTGTCCCCATGGAGAAAAAAGGCTTTAATATCTCAATCTATTTCAAAATGAATTAGAACCTGAAAATGATGCGGCCCATCCTCTCCCATCTCTCCATCCACCGTGAACTGTAAAAAATGGATTAGCTTCATTTGTAAGGCAATTTCCTCCGAACGAGGGGCAAGAAATGAAATACACCATCTCCACGCACACATACAGCTCCCATCCTCAGAAAAAAAAGGATTCTCTGAATTACTGGATTTTCTTTTTTTGTGAGGCATGATTTTCCACAGCAGTCACTCTCTAATCAATTTTAATCAGGTGTTTTGCAGCTTTTTTTAGAAAGTATTGAACCTCAGACGTGTCGGAGAACGGAGCTGCTGGGTGTTGAACTTGGCTGTGAATCCATTATGTGCCGGGCAAGAAATGTGACAAAACTGCTATCTGATCGCATACCAACGGAGAGCGGTCTAAGTACACAAGGTTTGATTGTGGAATTTGTGAGTGATCAGAATTCTTGCTGCTATGTTTGCCTACAAAGAAAGCTCTAACGCAGATATCCAATTTCACTGCTGTTTGATCACCGTAATAATAGAATCAAACACTGCCTTTGTCATGATGAGCTTTTTTTTTCTACAGTAACATTTTCAGACTCCACTCCTTTGAACAGTCATTTTCATTTTAGCTCCATTTAACACATGAAAACGGGGACTTGATTAGAGCTTTACCATTTTAGAACAATTAAACTATCCGGAGAGATATGAGAGCAGCGCGGTGCTATGAAGTCTCTGCTGAGGAGGTTTTTTGTCGTTTCATTTAACGCGTCTTGATGTGTGTTCATATATCAGATTTCAGTTCTGGGACTTCTTTTCTGTGGTAACTTATACCTGAGTGATTACTATGATAAAAGTCATTACTGTTCTCTACATTACAACTTCATGAACCCTTGTAATTATTAAATGCTGTGGGAGATTTAAACCAAAACTGCGTCACTCCTGGGGAGAGGCGAGTCAAAAGTAGCCCTGGCGGACAGCAGCCACCAGCAGGTGTGTAATTTATCATTGTTGTTGCCATGGCGACTCATACAGCCATGTGTGTCAACCTCAACGGTGACATGGCGAGGCAGTCACTCTTCTATACGTGCGCCCTCCACCCACATCATGCAGACAGAAAGGGAGGGTCTTTTATTGTCTTTAATATCTTCAGTGACTCTCACGCTGTCTGTGAAGGGCATCCTTTAAACAACTGTCCTTTTTATGCTTCTTTACCCCCCCCCCCTCCTTCCCATCTCCACAACTGAACACCATCAATCTAGCCATTTACTTTAACTTTATTTCTCACTCCATTAGTTTCTAGGACACCGAGCGGCACCGGGTGTTGGAGGGGGAGAGATAGAGAGAGTGTGGAAAAAAATGAAAAGAAAGTTTGGCTCCTTGGAGAGATAAAATGTAATTTCACAGTCAACTTGCTGTGATATATTATTTCACAACAATGGGATGTGGGCTGATATGAGCCCTGCTTGGCACCTGTACAGAACAGTTAGAACATCAACGATGGCTCTCTGGAGAGGGTAGAGCTGTACGTGTGTGTAAGGCCTGAATGGAGGTAAAACGAGGGTCCAGCACAATGGATCAAAGTGAGCATCAACTCTAAAATAGGTTGTCATTTCAGTTTTGTGTTTAGTTATTTAGTATGCAATAACATTTCCAGTCAGTGATTTCATGCCTTTGTGTATTTGAGCTGTAGAGGGAGTTAACAATTTAACAGCAGGTGTTTATAAACCCAACAAGATAAAAAACAATCCTCTCCTACTGTCCGACATGTTTGCAAGTGAGTCTGTTCATCCTAATGAAAGAATCTCAGCATCCTTTATTCTCATCGCTCCTGCTCCACCATTACACACACTGTTATCCAGGAACATGGCACAGCATTGATAGATGCCTCGCGCTTCATTAGCCACAGTCTCTCAGCCTGCAGAGCACTAACACATTATCAACCTGCTTCAACCAGAGGCCTAATGATGCAGAGAGTCTAACCACTGCACGGCAATACAGGAAGAGGGAGGAGACATGCTGCGTGATAAATGCTCTCATTTCAATTAAAAAAATATTATCATCTGACGTCCTTCAGCTCCCCAAGCTGTTCTGCCTACTTAACCAAACATGTACACTCAAAATAAATTACACATATTACGTTTCTAAATGTTTGAATCAAAGTGCAGTCGAACAGAACCAGAGGTGGTGTTGAGGGGCGGATCCTTGTCTCACAGTTTGCTGTTCTTCTGAAACTGGCTCACCAGTCCCAGCACCTGCTCTGAAGTTGTGATGACTTTGTTGTGCAGGTAGAGGGCGCTGTTTTTAGAGGTCTCGTTCAGGAAGTAACGATAATTAACCATGATGCCGCAGGAGTTCGCCACCCCCCTGGGGCTCGTATCGGCGCGCCAATTGAGTCTCCACATAGTGGCGCCGTTTTGCAGGTGAAAGTTGGCGACCGGGTTGAGAGCGTAACCCCGCCTCTTCTCCCCGTACAGGTACCAGGCGCAGAGACGCATCAGGGCGGGCTCCAGGATGCGCGATAGCCGCTCAGAGTGCATCCACTCACTGGTGCCGATCAGCTTGCGGAGGGCCTCGATGGCCGGAGTTCCCGGCGCCGAATCGGTGGCCTGCTCCACCTCCTTCCACTCGTGCTCAGAGAGGAGGTCGGAGCCCCGGCTCTCCTTCTTGTACTGGCTCAGCAGACCCTGGAGCCACGAGGAGAAGCCCGGGATCGGAGACAGGCTGGAGAACTGGCCCATTTGGGGGAACTCACTCTGAAAGACATCAGGAAAAAGAGTAGTTTAGCTCCTAACTCAAGTCAGGGCGTCACAAAGACGAAACTGTTAAATATTCTAAAGATGTTTAAGGGTTTACTTTTATCTGTGCTATAATGTTTCTTTATTTTGCCAATTAAACTAAACAGATGATTATGATTGGCTTCTGTCACTGTAACATGATTGCACAGCAGCATCGTTTCAGACACACTGCAGTTTGACATTTGATTGGATTTGGGATCATTTTTATATCAAGTCTTAAATGAAGATGAACCAGAAGCCACTGAAAGTGAGGATTATGTTTTCATAAAAGAAAAAGTGATCAGTCAGATAACCCAGAGGCAGAGATGGAGCCTCTTATATAATAATGCTAGCTGAGGGAGCGCTGATAGCCTAGCGGGTACGTTGCTCGCCCCATGTACAGAAGCTTTAGTCCTTGTTGCAGCGGTCGTGTTCATGTCCTGCCTTGGCCCTCTGCTGCATCCCCCACTCTCTCCTCCCAACATTTTCTGCCTGTCTTTAGCTGTCCTATACGATACAGGCAAAAAGGCCTCAAAATTAAAAAAAATGTTAGCTGAGAGAGAGGTTGTGATTTTTTGTTTTGCACAACCTTGTTAAGATTCAAAAATGTTCTGGCATCTTAAAATTACCAAGAAGACAGCAAGAAAATGTTTTTTATGGGTTGAGTATGATTAATGGTTGCCTGGAGTTTAGTACTGCTATTTGAAGTTGTATCTTAAATTTAAGAGGGTAGAAGGGTCTTCAAAAAAGGTACCATTTATATGTATAAGGAGATGGCTAAACACAGAATTACCTCAACTGGCTTGACGAGAGACAGAAAAAAACCAAGCCAAAAAGAGATTAAAGAAAAGGGATAGGAAGAGGAACACACTGTGACGGTGTAAAGAAAACAGACGATGCAAAGGGCTCCAGCTTTGCAGCAGCACACTCACACAGCAGTTTTAAAACACAAAACTGAATTTTTAGGTTGTGCTCGGGCCACCTTCCATCTCTGCCCATCTTCTTGCCCTGCCGTCTGGCTAGTGAAAGGCTCCAGATGAAAGTGGAAGTGTCAGGCAGCTCCTGTAGACCCAGAGCTGCCTGTCAGCTCCACAACACTGTTTCTCTTACCTCCTCTTTGATTTTAATCCCCCTAGAGCCTTCACATGTACCACTAGTTAAAACCCTGTCAACTGTATCCACATCTGGCCATTATCAATGTGACCTCTTCTTTTAACTACTAAAGCTCCCCATGTCAACAAAGGTACACTCAATAAAGACGGCTGAATTAAGAACAGAGGCGGGAAGGGTGAACAAGTAAGAGGAAAAAAGGTTGGAGAAAAAAAAATGGAGCCATGCCAGAACTGTGCTCCAGGGTCCAATCTACAAAGACAAGCAGGACCTCCTCCCTTCACCTTAAATCACGAGTGTGACCTTTTCTTTTCCACTCTTTCATCTATCCATCATCATAGTGGTCCCTCTGTGGGCCGCCTGCCTGCTCCTCTTCACCTTTACGTGAGGTAATGTCCTGTCAGACGGTCTGGGCTGCTGCATAACACCACTGAGCCGAGGTTTTCTGAGGCCCTAATGGTGCGGGCCTGCGCTTACTCTGCCGGGGTCAGGGGTTCAAATCCCGTTAGGCTCTTAAAAGATAATTGTGCTCATGGTGAATTCATTTCCAAACAGTACCTAAAAGGGCTTTACAAAGTTTAAATGAAGAAGCTGGGTATCAAGTTGGGTTAAGACAAAAAAAACAAAAAACTATGTTCATCTGTTTATAATTGAAAGTATTACATTAAATGATTTTTTAATCTCTGTTAAAATGCAATGAATGTATAAAACCTGGACATAGTCTTGATGACATCATCCATTGGTTACTAAAGTGGAGTTCTGAAGCCCAACGATGGCACTCACCATAATAAAAAATACTCACTAACATTTTATCAATCTAGAAAGAGAGGAAGAGGTGGAGCTAAATGAGAGGCGGGACTAAAGACTCCTGATAAACCGCTACGACATGCCCTCCTGTCAGCCACCTCAGACACGCCCCAAAGTACGCAAATGTTTGCGAAGGTCTTGGCCTAAATAAAATCAAAACAGATGACTAATCGAAAATCTCAACCCCTGAACAGTTTTAACATTTATACAAATGAGCTATTCAGACCAAAACAGTTTTCTGTACTAGGCTGTACATTTTAATATAGGACCCTAACTTCTGAGTCCCATGCATCAATGGCGGTCTCCATGCTGGAAATCCTGTCTCACCCTAACGTAACGACAGGCTAAGAGCTGGAGCTGAGGTGGGTTTTAAGCTTCTTGATAAACTGTTACATCAGGTCAGCGCAAACCTTATTGTGAATAACTTTTATCCTTCATCAAATCAAAACTGATGAGTTATTCAAATATTCACCCTCCGTACAGTGTGTGTCCATCGAGACATGAGCTAATCAGACATATTTTGAATTTCATGTTAATTTCTGCTTTTTTGAATGGGTGTGTATGTGACTTCAGGTGCTTCTGCAGTCAGCCTCTAGTGGACACTCGATGAACTGCAGGAATTTGCACTTCTGCATTTGCTTCATTTTTTACCACCGGATGTTGCAGCTTGGGAGCGATTTGCTTTTGGAGCTAGCCTCAAGTGGACACTCGAGGAACTGCAGTTTTTTTGTACCAGGCTGTAAACGTGTTTATGGAGATTTTAATATAGGACCCTCATAAGGATTGACGTGCTATCCTCAAGTGGACACTCGAGGACTATTCTGCATAGTTCCTTTTGCCTATTCTTTTCCTTTTGATCACTTGCCACTTGGTAAAATGTAGCTCTGGTTTGCTCATGTGCTCTTGAACCACCATTGTATCCATGCTTTCAAAAGATAAGCAATGGGATTGTTACTGGTTGCCTTGGCTAAAAGGACATTTCGTTTGCCGGCTTTAATTGCTGCAACACGTGTTGGTTTGCTGTTTGTCTGGCAAACCCCGGGGTGAGGGGCAAAACGGCCAAGTGGGGGTGCCGCCTACTTCTCTGGTCAAAACTACATACTGACATACTGGCTGCTGCGTTGTTGTCAGAGAAGCCAGCACTTCAACATAACACGTTTCCTTAATGTCTGATCATAGTAAGGTTCATTATATAATTTAATTCAGTAGATATCTTACATATTGGACCTTTAATTACACAATATACCCAAATGTCTCAAACCCATGAAATGGTTATGGTTTGAAGTAGTTCAATGTGTAGAAAAGTGAATATTACAAGCTCTTCTTCTGTTGTGCAGTTAGTTGTCACTTTTTCCCCCAATATCACTGACTTCTCATAGCTCTGACTAAGAAGTAGCACATCTACTTCCTTCGAGCATATTTGCATAAAGAGAAAGAAGAGAGAAGATGCTGACGTGCAAAGGTGGTACAGGCGATAATGAAGACATTATTCCCCATCTGTAAGTCTCCTACACTGCAGTGCAATATAACCCACGTCTTTATATGAAAGCACAAAATGCTAAACAATACCCGCTTCACTGAACTGGATGTTGACATTAATAAAAATACCAATACATGAAAGGTTTGCAGCATTGAAAACAGTCCAGTTGTATGAATAAGTAGAGTGGAGGCAGCTTAGGGCACTGAAATCTGATTTTAGGATACACTACAAAGAGCTTTTTTCCCATCTGTTGGGTAAAGTGCTTTTGATTTTCTATTCAATGTTCCAATCATTTAACAAGTGCTTCCTGGAGTGGCCCGACATGGAGGGCTCTTCTGCGCTTATTGAGAGGGATGGATGAGATTTCATTACTGCCTGTCTAGTGACTGCTGCTCTGTTTACGTGTGCATGCAAGCAGCAAGTGCTAAAACAAGTGGGTGATTTATGATTCAGCGCTGGCACTTAAATAAAAATGAGAACTTTTGGGAAGCAATCAAACAAAAAAAAAAAAAAAAAAAAAATCTAACACATCACCGCTATACTCCCCGCTGGAAATGATGCTGTGCCAGCTGTACCTCACCTGAAGGCTACCGCAGGCTTTAATTGAATCCAGCATGTGAGATGCACAGAGTGACACGCGCGGCTTCAGGGGAGGAGACAAACAACACTTTGAACAGCTACAGCACGGAGGAGGAGGAGGAGATGAGGAGCTCTGCAGGAGTTCACAGCTGTATCTGTGCATGTGTCATAAGCGTGGTATTATCTGGTTAGAAGGAGACGGCGCTTTTCAAAGTCTTCACTGATAAGGTGCTTGATAGTTATTGTACCGAGTTTACCTCAGCTGAACCCCGGCCTACTAAAGGGTCAAATTTAATCTAAGTCGTTCTTCTATTTCAATGCACAAAGTGAAAATGTCTTCATTAAATGAGGTAACATTAAAGCAGAGTTTTAACCACATCAAACTTTCACGACTTAAATTGAAAAGTTGTTTTTTTTTTGCACAATCCACGAGGCTCAAATGTTCTATAAATAGCAATATGATTCTTATATTCATTCACTGATTAGGTTGAACTAATTTATTCCAAAACAGAATTGGAGATACTGTATTCTTATCTGATTAGCTTTTAGCTGGATTATAAATTTTTGTATCGACTAAAAATCAGTGATTTGATTGGCATCAGAAAAAAAAACAGATAAAAAGAAGCAAACAAGATCATCATACCAAGGAGCTCCCGTTAAAAGGATTTAATGACGTTAAGAGACGTTTCGAGCCAACATGCTCTTCCTCAGACTTGAAATTTTAAGTGTGTGAATCTTGTTTCCTTCTTTTGACCTGTACGTGTTTTTAGATCCAGGGCCGGCCCGTGGAATAGGCGCCGGCCATCCATAGGGGTCGCCATGCCAAGATTATTCATGTGTTAAAAAAATAACTAGTGTCAGAAATACACTTTTTCTTTTGTGGAGTGTGTAGAATGGGACATAAGACCTACTGAAATATTTTATTATTGTTTTTTGTGTACTTAATTTGTTAACACCCTAGTCTATTTAAAATGTGTTTTTGTTGTAATTAATAGTTTTAAACACTTGCCTTTTTAGTATTAATGTCCAAGAGCATGCATGCATTTTGTGCATCCTGACTGGATAGATATTTGTTCATGGTATAGGGAGGGTTGTAAGACTTCGAAAAATACTTTTCTAAAGTCTGCTTTCCTGTGTCCTCGCTCGCTCGCTCATCGCTCCTCAAATCCCCCTGCTCTCTCCTCGATTCTCTCTACTCTTTTCAGTTATAAGAGCTTTGGTACGCTCCTTAACATGGCAGGCCTGGAACTACTTCCTGTTTGGTCAAGGGGCGAGGAGACAGCATTTAAGAGAACTTAGATGGAGAGCAACATTTTATATGTATGAATCAGTTTCTTTACTTTATAAATATATAAATGCACTATAGTGTATATTCTGCATCGCACCACCTCTCACCTGTAGTTCCCGCACCACCCTCTTGATGAGGTAGTTTCCCAGCTCCACCCCTTGTAGGCCCGCCTGCGTGGAGGAGATGGAGTAGAAGATTGCTGCGTTTATCTTGTTCACATCCTCCTCGGAGTCGAGAGTGGCAAACTCACGGACGATACTCTTAAGAGAAAAAAAAGATTATTTTTTTTGTCAAAAACAACAAACAACAACAAAAAAAACTTCTGTTTTCCTCTCCCTGATAAAACCAGATTCTAGGCTACAGAACTGCAGCTGCAGGAGTGTCTAACATCTATTTCAGAGCTGTGAAAATGTTGCTCTATTTCACATGATGGAATAAAATTTCAGTGTTGTCAAAAGCACCTTTTTCCTCTCTGTAAACATTAAAGAAGGTCAACACAGTAAAGGTTGCTCCCAGAGGGCTGTGCAGTTTAAAAGGTCTCTGTATTGTTTTTCTCACAATCCATTTGTCAGCCGAGAGGAGGAACAAAACAGTCACTCCTGGGAGTTCAACTATTCACACAGGTGTAGTTAAGAGAGACAAAGCATTACAAAAGCCTGCAGCTAGTGCTTCTCACCTGAATGTTATCAGATATGTCTTCGGTGAGCGCCACGTGTAGAACAACCAGCGGCTCCCCTGGCATGGCCGCATGGGTGAAGGCATAACAGCGGCGGTACGGCCCCACTCTGCGCTTCAGGTCAGTCCAGTTCCTTACAGGGTGCACGGCCTCATAGCTGGAAGAGTTAGATAGTTAGACTTCTGTTCGACAGTTTGCTACCATCACGCCCCTGAATAAGGCTACCGGTTCTGTTTAAGTCAAACTTGAGTGTCACTATCCCAACTGGACACGCCCCCTCTGTCGAACTGAGAGGGAAAACAGGCTGAAACATGGCTGTCATTAGTCAGAGAAACAACGAAAATGGAAGTAAAACAGACCAAAATTTGCTCAAACTAAGGACATTTGGACTCAACAGAGATCACTACAATTTACTATAAGTACTCAGCGAATGACCGCACGCATCGAACAGTGACAAACACTATTACAGCCCTACTATGTTAATAAAATAAAGTTTAAAATCATGAAAAAGGAAGCTCTTCTCTTGGGTGCTGTGGGTGAATCTGAATCTCTTGAATGTGTCAAATTCTGGCATCCAGAGAAGATGCAACTTGCAGAAGGAAGGCATAGCTCGCTCGCACAACTGCAGACTGAAATGTTGGATCTTGTAGCAACTTGATGAAAAAAGTTCTCACAGTCTAAATCCATCATTCAGTCAAACATAGTCCTCAGTCTTTTCTCATGTTTACAGCCACTTTGTCTTCACTTATAGTAAAGTGTGTCTAGAGACCAATGTCTGATTGTGCTTTACACAGACTTTAACTTAATTTAGACAAACCCAAAATGTTCACTCTAACTGCCAATTTCTACATAATTCGTGCGCCCCTTTCTGAAGCGTTAGTGCAGCCATGCTCAGCTGTTCACACATCACAGAACTACAAGATCACGCAGCAATGCAGAGAAGAACATGCATACAACATGTTGTTTTGTCTTTCTGTAGTTGCTTTGTTGTTCTTTTGGTGACTGTTTTGATGTAATGTTGATAAAGTGATGGGAAATTCCATCGGGAGTCCTAGTATTGGGTTCTATTTTGAAATTGACCGGACACTCTTGTTATTGTTTTCTTGTCTGACTTCCTGTTCGGGTTGTTCTATTCTGTCCAGCTTGACGTGTGCTTGAAGTGAGTTTCGTACAAAGTGACTTGAAATGGAGCAGGGCGTAGAAGCGCAGATGGCACGAGCTGTGGAAACAGGATAAATGACTAGAGTGGCAGTGAACGGCGGCGTAGTGCACGGCACTGACGGGCCGCTGCGCGCAAAGGAGTATGTGGAAGTTGCCAGCAAAACAGGTGACCAGGGCGATCTGTAGGAGATGCCTATCTGCCAAGTTGTTATACTATTAGATCGACTTTGAACGTACTACTTTAAGATGGAAAGTTTCATATTGTTGCTTTCAGCTGATTATTGTTTGTAGCTAAGGTTTAAGCAGATAGATTAACCAGTTTTTTTTTTTTTTTTTTGGTTTTTGGAAAGACTAAATAAAAACTCTAGAAATGCAGAGAATCGCTCCTTCCTTAAACTCAATGAGCTTGTAGCAGGTACAGAAATCCAAAGCTTGACATGTCTGCTGTGATTATTTTCAACTGGTAAGGCTTGACTTGAACTTCTCTGATGAAAGGCAGGGAAAGGGTTATACAAACAGCATATTTTCATTATGTGATGTATCTTCTGTTTGTAAGATAAAAGCAGGGACAATGACATGCACATCCTTACTGGCTGATCTTCTGCAGGATCTCACAGGGGGACTGCCAGGTGATTCTCTCCAGGCGGAGCAGACCCACAGAAAACCACTCAGACAGCAAACTCTTCAGCGTGCCATTCAGGTCCTAACATAGAGAAGGGTGAGGGTTGAGAATTAACATCCACATCAAGCTGGTCATAGTAAATTCAACATGTTCTACACCTTGAATCTGAAGAAGACGCAGTGCATGGAAACGTTAGTCCTTTGCACCTTTATTAAATGTGCCTTCAGGGATTTGTGTGCTCCAGTATTTTCTTTGGTTCCTGTCTTGAAGAAGGTATCCACTGAAACTTATATTTGGGTAACCTGAGTGTCTACTGACCCACAAAATATGAAATAAACCCATCCAGTCCTTTGTTAGTGGTCTGCATAAGTCTTACAACACAGAGAAAAATGCTCTGTTCCAAATGTGCTCTCCTTGTGATGTCACAGTGGGATTCTGGTTAAAAAATAAATAAAGTCAGAATGTAGACTTTGTATTTCATATTAGTATTGGGCATAATGTATTTAAATAAAATAAATCAACTTGAATAAATAAGAAAACGAGGGTCATGAGGGATATCTTTTAATTATAGCTATAAATCGTTTATCTTGTAAAGAATAACAACATAAAGGAGTCTTTAGAAACTGCTGCTCTGTTAAATACTAGATAAACACGGCGTCTTCACAACCTCATGGCCCCTTTTATTGAGAGAACTAAGAGGCCCATACTTATTGAGTGACAGCAGACCTGCTTAAGTTTTTTTCTGTAGGCAATCAACAATTCCATACCAGCGTCTGGCACACCGTGCGGAGGTTGTGCGCTCCCCTGGGTGTCTGTATGCTGTTTGAATGTTTTCACATTATGAGTAGTGATTTGTTTGAGCTTGCAATGGGTGTGGAGGAGGCACCTCAATAAACAACTTGCCATTTCAAAGCAGGCCTGTCCTCCTGCAAAGGTCAGACTTCATTTAAAGCAAATCTCTTGCAAACACACAAACAAACGCACACGGCGCATGCACACAAAGGCAGTCAAACACATAAATACAGCTCTTATTGGCTGTTCCATAGGATGACTTCACTATAGGCTTACTTTATTGCCAGCGTGTCAGTCATTATAGAGACAGTCTGGGTGTAAAAGACACTGAAAACCATAAAAAACAAAAACTAAGAACATCTGAATTTCTCCCCCACGCATATGCGATACGCCCTCCATTATGCAGCTTTATGGGCGAGAGGTTTCACACTGGAATAATATACAGACTGACAAGCAAATCAAAAGTAACTCTGCAGAAAGAAAAGTTCGGCAAAACTTCCTTAAACCATTCAAGCTGCCTGGGGAGAATTAATCTGCGATGGTTGATAATCCGAGCTGGGCATTTCTGTGGAAAACGCAGCACATCAACAACCCCCCACCCCCACCCCCCTCGGAGTGTACAGCGGCTGTGGTAGCAAATTCTCAGGCACACAAAAGGAAGGCCAAACTGAGATGTGTTTTCTTTTGACCTAGCTGAAAATGAAACCTTTCAAAGTGGAGGGGGCCTTGTATTTGAAAAAACCCAGGTCAGGAGAGGCCGAGAGAAGGAGGCTTGGAAAAAGAATAAAATCCTGAACTCCATCAGAAAGAAAATAAGCAACACTTCTCAGCTCTGGAGCTGTATCAATGTAGCGCGGCGCCAATATAGAGTGCCGATTCTATCGCTGCTACCTTGAGCTGTTGAGTAGTTATAATGCCATTATACAGAGCAATGGAGACTGCAGTGCCTGGAAAGAACACTCTGTCTATCCAACGACCACAGACTGCCAAAGTGTACAGAGGTCAAACTCGTGGTGTGCCAATACCTCTTCTCCAGTAGGCCGTGTGTGTGTGTGTGTGTGTGTGTGTGTGTGTGTGTGTGTGTGTGTGTGTGTGTGTGTGTGTGTGTGTGGTGGGGTGGGGAGAAATAGCCTTGTGCACACTCTGTGAAATCCCAGACAGCCAACTCAAATTATTTCATTACATAATTCACCTACTCTGTTTGTGGACGTGCAAACAGGAAGGAAAAGGCTTGGGGGTAGGAGGAGCAACATCAAAAATCAATTACTCAACCGACAAAGACTAATCTAGCGGAGAATTCAGAGGGATGCTTCCTGCAAGACCAGCAATAATTGCAGCATCCAACTTTCATTACTTCAGTTATTATAGAAAATGTATCTTCTCTCTCTCTCTCTTTCCTCACAATGTCAATTGTGTACATTTTTTTGATTGCAAGTACTCCCCTCCCCTGCTTTGCACAGGCCATCAATGCAGGAACTAAAAGCTTCATATTTTTGTGACCTTTCCACATTTACAGAACAATAGAATCTGGCAATAATAACAAGAAAAGATATGAACCCACAAGACCAAGGTGGTCAGCAGTCGGTGCGTTGAGAACTCTGTTGGTAGCTCAGACCTTTCTAAGCCACAAAAGGTCTCAGTGGGCCCTGGTTATTGGGATTAAATTCCTCTGAAGCACTTCTCAGCTGGAATAAAATAGATTTGGAGGTGGAGAGAAGAGGTTAGAAATCCTCCGGGGGCAATGCAGTCGAGAGTTTTTTGGGAATCAAGTAAAGCGATAGCCCTCAACAGCTTTATAATAGTGCAAGGGAAAATTCAACTGTATTCTTAGGATGACAAAACACATTTTACACTCTGTAATGATAAGAGTATCTAAAAACACGGTCAGCTGCATGCATGCAATAGCCCGAAATGAAAAAGCAATTTAAGTAAAAGTTCAGTGCAGCTTTTTATGGCCCCTTAAAGGGTTTTGTCTCATTGATTTTGTGATCTCAGCAAAACAAATGTACACTTCATCTCGTGTGTTTGGGTAATAAAAGAACAGAAGCATAATTGGAATCAGATTAGGCCACTTTAACAATAAATGTGTGTTTACCAATACAAAAATACAAAACCAAAGCAAAGAGAAATGTGAGTGCTTTTATGAATTATCTCTACATGATCTGTTCCATCTGGTCTGAACGTCGTCATGGAGACGATTCGAGGACACTTCTTACAGTTCAGTCTGAACGTCTCTAGAGTGAGACTGTGCGGGCTGAGAATGTCTGAAGTGCCCAAACATATTTCTTGATCTGCGATGTTGATCGGCCCTGTCAGTCCGATACATAAATTACTTCAATATCGGACCCGATATTAGATCGGATCTGTCCCATAGTTGATATCAGTCGTTTACCTGTTATCATAAGGAAACCAGCATTGCTACCTCGAGATAAAGACATAAATAAGCCAAGAGCTCGAGAAAACAATTGGAAATGACTCATTATGATGGGGAAACTGATAAAATGGATGGATGGATGTCTGCCTAGGGCTTCTGTACTTGTACTGGATTTGTCTGTTGTCTCTCTACTGAAAGCAGGCTTTGACTCCACAAGCTGAACCGATGGACCAGTCAAAAGGCAACTTGATCAACTGGAAAACCAATAACAACCATTAAGGGTCAATTCATTAATGAAACTTTTGTATATGACAGTTTCCTTAATACTCATCTTGAATATTTTTTTGGTCTTGGTCTCTAGAAATCAGGGTCAGGATTTTTGCTTCACTTTCTGAATTATTACAAACCGAACAATTAATTAAGCAAATAAAACATTGTTTGATATTTAGTTCTACAGCAACGAAACAGTTTCAGATAGAAATAAAGATCTGGAAAGTGCATCAGTCTAAGAGATGTCTTTGTGAAGGAAGGAAGTTCTCGAACAAACTAAGTGCATCAAATATAACTTGACACTAAGCGTGCCCGCTGACAAAACCTGCACTCTTATTTCAAGGTGAACATTGAACCTCCTACACTGCAGTGCTGAACATTGTAATTTATTTGACTGAACATGAATGACTGGAATATAAGAGGTACAAGACAGACTGGAAGGGGTACATTTACAGAAAAGGAAACTGCCGGAACTGTTCCATTAGTGGGGCGAGAAGAGAAATAATGCCAGGTGTGATGGAAACGTTTTTCCAATGCTTACTTTTCCTTAAGTTTTACTTTCAACTTTTCTTTAAAAATGTCAATCTAAAATGCATTGAATGCCTGATTTATATTCTGGTCTTTTTCACTCCCTCATGTTCAGATTGAACGTTGTTACAGCACGGCCTTTAAACATAAGAGCTTTTCTGCAACAAGGGAGAAAGCTGTGAAAGACACTGCAGTTCACCTTACCACCAAGAGAAAATCAAATAAGCCTGGAGTTATCATGTACAAAAGAAGCGGCTCAATTATAAGGAGAGAGCTTAATAACGTATCACAGTTAGGGAGGGGAGGGGGTGTAAACTGGGGCAAAGGTATCAGCCATTTAAGCAGTGATGAAATGTGAACCATGTGAGAGGGGCGCTTAGCGAAGGGTGCAGTTTGTGGATAAGTGTGGGCTGCTGGTGTATTATAAGCCTTCAGGTGACTAATATTAAAATACAACCATCACAATTTATATTTATCAGGGTTACGCTGTCGTGCAACGGCCCCAAATGCATTTACGCGAATTGCACTGTTTGTCTCATGCGAGCACCCGTAAAAAAAAAAGGTAAACAAACGTTTTTTACCCTGATGTGCGCGCTCTCGCTAGCTTTGGAGGCGATTATTTCGAGTATATCGGCTCTGAGGTCCACCAGAAACTTCACTCCCCCCTCGACCCTGCTTATATGATTAAGCAGTTGTTTATAGCGGGGAGTCAAACTGTAGCGGAGCCTGTCTTCAACTTGTAAAATGGTCGCCAAGTCTCGCAGCTGGGTGTCCAGGAGCTTCAAAGCGAGCTCGGAGACGCTCTTATGGTCTACTCCAAAGTCCTGTGAAAGCTTCGTCAGGACACTGAGTTTGTCTTCTTTGACGAGGCTGCTGTAGAAGTGCATGAACTCCAAACTGTTTGATTCAGGGGAAGGGGGGCACTTGTCTCTCGTCTCGTATGTGGGTAAAGGTGCAACGACCCTCGCTAGGATCTCCTCCATGCCCGTGACTCCGACACGAATTGGGGTCGAGTACCAGCGCAGACCGCTGACGTCCAAAGCCCGCTGAGTAGCTTTAAGGAGAGTCCGGTGTCGCAAGCACCTCACACTGCTGCGAAAAGCCCAAATAACAGGGTGGGATATCATCGCCAGCTGTCTGGTTCGGGACCCGTGACTAGTGGACACACACGGAAAGGAACCGTTTCCGGGTTTCTTAAAGACACAGTACCGTTTTCAGACTTTGACCGGAGGATCAGCCGTCATGAAAATAGGCCTATGAAAAATCTTCATGCAGTGTAGCATGTTGCAAATTTGAATTCATGGGATAAAAAAAGCCTATTTTATGCCGTAAGAAACTAAACACAAGATTTCCTATTGGCAGGCAACTCGTAATGACATTGTTTAAACGACACTTTTATTTGAAGATGAGAAAGACATTTTAAAAGTCGTTTTAGGAAATAATAGCCTACTGCATGACTTTAAGTCATGTAACAAACTCAGAACTCTGGAGAGATATTTGTCATTTTGGTAAAGAATATGGCTCATGTCATTTTGGTAAAGGCTATCACTCTCACTTAGAGTCAAAGGTTGCTGACTCTATAAAGACTTTGTGTTCCCAGGAAAATAATATCAGAATCACAAACAAACTTTAAGGCAATCAAACACACCAATCCTGTGTTGTATGGAGGTTTGTTTAAAAATTATATTTTGTAATTTTTATGCTTACAGTTAAAGGGATACTTCACCCATTTGCATTAATCTTTGTATCATTAGAAACCTGGTAGTATTTTTGAATGGTCGTGCATCCCGTCCTCATTTTCCCCTGAGATGAGAAATCTTTGTATTTCTGAGTCTGAAAAGGAGCTTCAAGTGACGCGAAATGACGATTTTTGCGTCACTGGAAGCTGTTGCGGTTAGCGGGGTGAAACTACAACGCTAGTTCCTCATATTTTCGACCACTGAAGCTACAGACCAATCACAGATCAGTGGGTGGGAACTCACTCCCAGAATCAAAACTTAATGTCCGCCATATTGCTTGGAAGCTATGCTAACAGGCTCTATGGAGAAAGCTGATAATGGCGGAAAAATATACATATAGCGGCAAGACGGCTGCTGCGACAGGCCGGTCTTGTGTTTTGGCTGCTTTGGCCGCTGTCCGCTGGGGCTGCCACTGTACGCAGCAGCCAAGAAACAAAACCGGCCTGTCGGCAGCAACCGTCTCGGGGCTATATTGCTATATTGCTGGCCGCCTGCCTGTCCGTGGCGGTGAGGACGAGGAGCCCGGGCTGGCTCGAGCTGGGGCGGACTGGTAGTGTCGGTGCTCTCACTGTTTGTCTATGGACACAGACATAGAGTCTGTTTTCTGCCAGGAATTTACAAGATGCTAATTCCTTCTGAAATAAATCTTGGAAATCAGTTGTGTAAACGGCGTATGTGTTGAAGTAAACATGTCTGTAAACCTGACCTTAGTGGGAGTGGCCTGCGGTGCTGTGCATTCTGGGATTTGGTGTCTTTCGTTCACATGAGCCAAAAAGCCACTTTCTGCCTTTTCTTGCCCAAGAAGACATCAACTTCAAAATGTATTTCACATTTCTACTACATATATGACCCAATGTCAACAGATTCATGTTTCAACGGGTGAAGTATCCCTTTAAAGGTTTCATGTGGATGTGTTCTTTTCCGAAACCAACAATCTCAAATGCAAACAATTAAACATTCAGCCACAGTGATTTGAAAACCCAAACGTCTGCAGATATCCTAGATTTGAATATGAATAAAAAATAATATAATATAATGCCTTTATTTTCATTGCATTTTTGTCCAATGTGCTGTGCTTCTCAATAACAAAAGTAGTTACATTCGTCAAATTCAGCCATACCATCCATAATAGTTATAAAAAAAATTAAAAGATTAATTGAAAGAAAAACAATTGAGTTAATTAATTTTAGATCTGTGGATACTTTTGCACCACAAGGATAATATGGTACATTGAATGTAATGCACCATAAATATCATGAAACATGAAACATTACCATTACAGTAATAAAATGACATTTTAAACATTAATTCTTGTTGCTGCATAAAAGCATTAAAGCACATTAAAAACTAAAGTGGTGTTGGTGGTTGTTGTTGTGGTTAGGGTGGGGGTATTGGTGGTGTTGGTAGTGTTGGTGGTGTTGGTGTTGGTGTTAGTGGTGTTGGTGTTGGTAGTGTTGGTGGTGTTGGTAGTGTTGGTGGTGTTGGTGTTGGTAGTGTTGGTGGTGTTGGTGTTGGTAGTGTTGGTGGTGTTGGTAGTGTTGGTGGTGTTGGTGTTGGTGGTTGTTGGTGTTGGTGGTGTTGGTGTTGGTAGTGTTGGTAGTGTTGGTGTTGGTGGTGTTGGTAGTATTGGTGGTGTTGGTGTTGGTAGTGTTGGTGTTGGTGGTGTTGGTGTTGGTAGTGTTGGTGTTGGTGGTGTTGGTAGTGTTGGTGGTGTTGGTAGTGTTGGTGTTGGTAGTGTTGGTGGTGTTGGTGTTGGTGGTGTTGGTGGTGTTGGTAGTATTGGTGGTGTTGGTGTTGGTAGTATTGGTGGTGTTGGTGTTGGTGGTGTTGGTAGTATTGGTGGTGTTGGTAGTGTTGGTGTTGGTGGTGTTGGTGGTGTTGGTGTTGGTAGTGTTGGTGTTGGTGGTGTTGGTAGTGTTGGTGGTGTTGGTAGTGTTGGTGTTGGTAGTGTTGGTGGTGTTGGTGTTGGTGGTGTTGGTAGTATTGGTGGTGTTGGTAGTGTTGGTGGTGTTGGTGTTGGTGGTGTTGGTAGTGTTGGTGGTGTTGGTGGTGTTGGTAGTATTGGTGGTGTTGGTAGTGTTGGTAGTGTTGGTGGTGTTGGTGGTGTTGGTAGTATTGGTGGTGTTGGTGTTGGTAGTATTGGTGGTGTTGGTAGTGTTGGTGGTGTTGGTAGTATTGGTGGTGTTGGTAGTGTTGGTGGTGTTGGTAGTATTGGTGGTGTTGGTGTTGGTAGTGTTGGTGGTGTTGGTGTTGGTAGTGTTGGTGGTGTTGGTGTTTGTTGGTGTTGGTGGTATTGGTGTTGGTTTTGGTGTTGGTGGTGTTGGTAGTGTTGTTGGTGTTGGTTTTGGTGGTGGTGTTGGTGGTATTGGTGTTGGTTTGGTTTTGGTGTTGGTGGTGGTGTGTGGTGTTGGTTTTGGTATTGGTGGTGTTGGTGGTGTTGGTGTTGGTGGTGTTGGTAGTGTTGGTGTTGGTGGTGTGGTGGTGGTGTTGGTGTTGGTTTTGGTATTGGTGGTGGTGGTGTTGGTGTTGGTGGTGTTGGTGTTGGTGGTGTTGGTAGTGTTGGTGGTGTTGGTGTTGGTGTTGGTGTTGGTGTTGGTGGGGGATGTTCCCATTCCTATCAAGTTCAGTTGAGTAAAGGCTTCCGTGATACATCACATGATAAAGGGCTGTCATGGAATTGGACCTCTTGGTAAGTGTGAGAGTTGTTTCAGAGTAGTGATGTCGTATCTTCTTTAAGGACAGCCAAGTATTCCACCTTCACTCTGTTTTATGTTGCAGCTGTTGAAGCTATTATTGGTGTTGCTGTGGCTAGCAGGTCAAAAACAGTCCAGCAGCCATTTTCTCTGATGCTATTCTTAATAATCTAAAACCTTTGGAGTCACTGGGAACCTCCTCCAGTTATTCACTAAATAAATGTATAGAGGAAATAAGAAAGCACTCAAGGTTTTTCAAGCTCTCATTGGTGCCATTATTTAAACCTCAATGCTGCTTTTGTGTTACTCAAATCATTTAATCTGAGGTGTTGTTGCAGGTCTCACTTAGAGCCCATGGTTTGCTCCCCATACTACATTTAATGATCATATTTACTTATAGAAAAACTGTCAATTTCCTGCCTGTTTATACCAGAGGCCGTTTTTCCTCTGCTGGACTGGTCACTTAAAGAAAAAAAATTTAGGGGATGGGGGGGGGATTTACAGTATACCCACTTCTTAAAGCACCACTACACTACTGACAGATGCTGTTTATCAGCTGCTGGATGGGACACTTAAAAACAAACATTTGGAGGAAAAATTAAGACTACACTCACTTCTTTAGGCGCCACTATACCCATGTTACTACGTCACTGCCAGACCAATCAATGCAATAATCTATAGTCCCAAACCTAAAAGTAAACTCTAACCACAGGATCTGATAACCCAATCATGCTGCTTAGACCAAACCGTTCAGAAAGGTCCTCTTGCATTCACGTACGTCTCAAGAGCTCGGAGTTCCCATTATACAAAGTTGTTTTCCGTCTCGATGTGTTCACGAGCGTCTAACCGTAATGTGAAAACATAATCGACGCCACAAAATATTCCATTTATTGTTTCCTTTTGGTCCGCCGTGGACCTTTGTAATATAACGTTAGTTCTGTCAACTTGACAAATCAGGAACTTGAGATTTTTTCCAAGTTGGAAGAGTCGGAAACTAATTTTTCCAATTTTCCTTCAACAATTAAATGCACAGCGACCTAGCCAATCAGAATTCAGCTGGATTTGACGCCCGCCCAGCTCAGAGCTAGGTAACGTTATCCCGCTGCGTCAACCGCCCAAAAAGTTTGTATTTTACCATGATAGTTGTTCATTTTTATGTACGCAGTTTAAGCGGTGAGCTAGTTTAATGTCACATTTGATTTTCACAAGACAACCTTACATAATAACGTGGTCATTTTTATTGATTTGATACGCAAAGGTGACAGGATAATTTAATTGCTTTCACCCGAATCGGTGACTGTGCAAGCTAAAGTTAGCTAGCTAATGTTTCTGACTTTCCAGGGCCGTGCACAGGTAAATGTTAATGTCCGCGCTTTGCTTTCCCTTTCAAAGGTACATGTGAGCGATGGGAGGAGAGAAGAACGCCAAAGGAGACGAGAAGGCCAAACACAAACCAACGAAGCTGAAAAGGCTGAGTGATCATGAAAGCGCTGCTGGAGATAAAGCATCCACCAAGAACAGGTCTGCGCATGCGCTTATGTGAGACATTAAATATTGAAGGAATTTTCATATATTTGTTTTTATGTTTTATTATTTTATTTATTGCACAAAAAAAAACCCCATAATAGATCAATGGAAAAACAGACAGTACATAATGATTAGTTAATTAACAAAATATAAATGTTGAAAGAAATGTGCTGGAGGAGCCAAATAAACCCAGAAGGGCTCATGGAGTGGCCCTCCTAAAGAGAAACATGTAACACAGAGACAAAAACATTAAAGCTAACAAGAACACATACTCAGTAAGGTGTAAAAGAAAGCAAAACAAGAAAGATTATGATGGCGCATTGGTTAATTGGCCAAGCAGGAAATAAAAGGTTTGTTTTTTAAATAAGTTGAGGCTGGTGCTGTTTCTAATACGATTGGGTAAATTGTTCCAACAATGAGGTCCTCTGAATCTGATAGAGAATTGAAAAATGCAGAATGAAGTATGTTGACTGCGTTTAGATGACGTGTAATCAGTATTTCACCTAGAGCATGTCAAATGCCACTATCAAATATAAGACTCCCTGAGAGTAGCAGAGTTTAAGCATCTCCATAATATTAAATAAATTTGACCTGTCTGCCACACATCAAACATCTGTTAGCATAGGCTTACTCCACACATTACAGATTTTTAATAGATCATGCAAGAAGCATTGCCTTTCAGATATTTTGATAAGTGAGGATGCATTGATTTGGATTGAAAAAATAAATACATGCAATGATGAAAAACCAGATAAGTGAGAGCCATATGGCAGTGTTTGTGTGACAGACACAATGAAGTGTTAGTGAGAGAATATTATGCTGGCTGAGCTGTCGAGCAGGCCCGTGGTGTTGACTGAACGCTTTCATTTCACTGAGTACAGTGCATACTCCATCTTCATATGAATAAATTAATTTACCTTGATATCTGATGCGTTTATTACCATGCATATGTGAGCAGACAAATGGATGTGGAGTGATCTGTCATTGGCTTGTGTAATTGATGAGAGTGGGGAGATAAATAGACACCTGTAACTGCTACTGGCAGCCAGACAGGCAGCTTTCTGTGACAGCTAGCCTCATGTTATTTCATGGCACACTGACTGAATTACTGATTAAGGATCAACTTATCCTCATCAGCTACAAGACTCATGGAACTAATTTTCCTGAGCATGACTGATTTAAAAAATGTGCTGCCTTCAGTTTGATGCTTAAAATTGGCATTTCTTAATATAAAAAAAGCAGAGGAATACTTGCTGCTCACTTTCATGTTACATCCAGCCTTCAAGGGTGAAAAGGTCACACTGAGAAAAAACATGTTCTTAGCTGTAGAGTGATCCTCTGCTTGTTTGAATTTTGGCATTTTAAAGGATGATACTTACCAGGCAAAGGCATGATTTCAAAATCATCCTAATATGCTTAAAAAAAAGTACAGCTGTAACTTTCTGTCAAGGGCATATCCAGTCATGTCTCAGTAACCCCAAATTTCCACATTCTCCGTTTGCTCTGTGGTGCGTCAGCGCCACACACTACGGCCTAGTTCGCTGCCACTATAGTCAATTATTGTGTTTCCCCAGCGAGCGCCGTGGTCCGTCTCAGGAGCGTATCACCAGCGCCACTACGATCTGCTCCGTTTAAAATACGCTGCAAGTATATTTTTGACAGAGTACGCTGCAGGCACGTGTAAAGTTTGACAGAATATGACAACCCGGACAGGAAGTCAGACAAGGAAACGCAGTGTCTGGTGAATTTCAAAATAAAACTCAAGTATACAGACTCGCAACCATATTTTCCATTATTATTATTATTATTATTATTATTATTATTATTATTATTATTATTATTATTATTACTACCTCTCCACTGCACTCACGTTCCAGAAACGGATCCAGCGCTGACGGACTGTGGCGCGCACAGAGTATGTGGGGATTGGGGGTAAAATTGGAAGCAGCTTTCTCCTTTCACTCCTTGAATATTTCTCTTGTTCATGTGCTATGAATGCTCTCTCACTAACAAGCATGTTCCTTTCTTCACATTTTCATCTGTTTCATCCTGACACCCTGATGGACAGTGCAAAGTCACTTAAATCTACAGAGAAAACTCACAATGGAAGGTCTCAAATGAAGGTAAGTCACATGAGCACATCCATAAGTCTGTGAGTGAATAGCATGTGAAACACTGGGGTGAAAAACTGAAGCCCCAGTCACCCACTGACCCCAGCTCAGAGAGTGTCATAACTACAGTGTGTTCAACAACCTGTCCTCGTAGGTAACCTCTATGATATGTGAAACCAGCAACACTGACAGGATTACATGCATACCAGGTCAGGGGGGGTGCCGGGGATCGACATACTTTTTTTTTTCTTACTCTTACCGTAGGGTTTATTTTAATATTAGGTTTGCATTTGTATCAAATGTGTTTTTCCCTCTAAATTAACTTTGTTTTTGCAACAAACAACTTTAATCTGCTCAATTTATACAAACACCAGGATTATTCAATTCAATTCAAAAAAACTTTATTTGTCCCCGTGGGGCAATTCAAAGGCACACAGCGCAGTAAATTAACAACAGTGCAAGTAAACAAAACATTTTAACCTAAATATAAAGTGTCAATTTAAATACAACTTAAAGCTTAAACTTAACTTAAAAATACAAAATATAAAAGAGTAGATATAAGTGGACAGTGATCGGACTAACAGATGTAAACAGAACTATATGCAGTAGTGACCAGATGTAAACAGAACTATGTGCAGTAAACAAGAAATAAAAAAAATATATATATATATATATATATATATATATATATATACAGAACTATGTGCAAGTAGGCAAATACTAAATGATAAGTTATTAAGGTGCATGGTGAATAATGGAACAACAGAACTAATATATACAATATAACTGTAAGATAAAAATTTGATAAATAAAGTGACCGCAGTGCAATGATGGATAAGAACAACAGGAATAAAGTAACCAGAACTGTATGAATACTGATATAAAATGGATAGAATAAAGTGATGTAGTGCATGAGACCAGATAAAGCAGAGGCAGTTAAGGTGCATGGCAAATGGAAGGAAGTAAAAAAGCAAGTTCACAGCTGAGAGTCTGCATTGGGTGAGAGGTGTTGGTGTCTGTTGGGGGGGTTAGAAGTTGAGGAGCTGGACAGCCCTGGGCACAAAGGTTGCTCTTCTCCTCTGTGTCCTGCTGCAGGGACAGCGAAGCCGGCGTCCTGAGGGGAGCCACTCAAACGCTGGGAAGAGAGCGTGTGAGGGGTCCTGCATAATCTGACCTGCTAGCCTGATTGTCTGTTGCTCATAGATCGATGTCCAAGTCCTTACAGGTAGTCCAGTGATCTCAGAGCAGACTGTGACCGTGCTCTGCAGGCGGTTTCTGTTCTGGAGGGTGGTGGAGTGGAACCAGCAGGTTATAGAAAAAGTAATAATGCTCTCAATGAAGGAGTAGTAGAAGGTCAGAAGAATGTTCTTACTGACTCCAAAGGAATTGAGCTTCCTTGGGAGGTATTTTTGCTGCTGACATTTCCTGAGAATCTCCTCGTGTTGGAGGCGAATTTCAGCAGGCTGTCAAAGATGGTACCCAGGTACTTATACTCCTCTACTAGTTCGACAGGATTCCCATGGATTGTGGTGATTGCTGATGCAGCCAGTTCCCTCTGCTTGTTGGAGAAGGTCACCACCATGTCTTTGGTCTTGCTCACATTCAGTTCGAGGCAGGAGCTGTCACACCACTCCACAAACTCCTGAAGAACTGGTCCATGGTGCTGAGAGGGGCCTGACAGCAGAGACAGGAGAACTGTGTTGTCTGCGTACTTCACCAGGTGACAGTTTGGCTGCAGTCATCGGTGTAGAGGATGAAGAGCAGAGGTGAGAGCACGCAGCCCTGAGGGGAGCCAGTTGAGGTGTGTTGGAGGTTGGAGAAGGTGTTGTTGACCAGAACTCTCTGTGATCTGTTGGTCAGAAAGTCCAATATCCACAGGATAAGCTGGCCGTTCAGATGGAAGCAAGTTGAAAGTTTGTCAGCCAGGATGTGAGGCTGCAGGGTGTTGAATGCAGAGGAGAAGTCTGCAAACAGGAGTCTGGCCGAGGTGTTGGGGTGCTCCAGGTGTTTTTGAACAGTGTCTATTATGAATGTTTTTGCATCATCGACACCTCTGCCTGCACGATAAGCAAATTGTAGCTGGTCCATCTGGGAGTAGGTTTCATCTGATGATGTGTTGTTTTATGATCCTCTCCATGGCCTTCATCACCAGAGACGTGAGGGCCACAGGCCTGAGGTCATTCAGTGATTTGGCGGGGCTTTTCTTGGGGATGGGGATAACTGTGGAGTGTTTCCACAGCTGGGGGGCTGTGCTGCTGTCCATAGAGCTCTGGAACAGGGTCTGAAACACGCCCCCTAGCTGCTCGGCACAGTGCTTCAGGATGCGGCCACTGATGTTGTCTGGACCAGGTGAGCTGCTCTCACCACATCCTCTCTGCTGAAGGTGAGTGCAGAGTCACTGGGCTTGAGCATGGACACTGTTTCTTCCAGCTGTGTGGTGTTGTCCTTCTCGAATCTGGTGTAGAATGAGTTGAGATCGTTGGGGAGAGAAGTAGAGCTGCTGCCTGCAACCTCGATGGTTTTGATGTTGGTAGCAGCAGTTTTCACAGCAGCCATGTTTTTGAGGCCCTGCCAAGCTGTGCGGAGGTTCCCCTGTGTGAATTTTTCCTCCACTTTGTTCTTGTACTTGAGCTTGGCAGTTTTTATGGCGTGCTTGACTTCTCTGTTTACTTCCTTTTTCTCCATTTCGGAGCCGGTGAAGAAGACCCTTTTCTTCTTGTTGAGGACCTCCTCGAGCTCTTTGGGGATCCAAGGTTTATTGTTGGTGTAGATTGTGACTGTTTTGGAGGGGATGATGTTGTCCACACAGAAGGAGATGTACGATGAAACAGTGTCCACATGCTCATTAATGTTGTTGGAGGGGGCTAGTCAGTGGATTCAAAGCATCCTTGTAGTGTAAGAATGCTTTCGTTGGTCCACTGCTTGATGTTCTTAACAACTTTCTTAACCCTCTTTATTACAGGAGTACATGCTGGAGCAAGCAGGATGGCATGGTGGTCAGCAGAGCCAAGAGGGGGGAGAGCAACAGATCTGTATGCGTTAGGAACTGAACCATAGCATTTATCCAGTGTCTTCCCCAGGCGGGTGCTGCATGTAATGTACTGCTGGTAGCCTTTTAGTGCTTTTTCAGGAGAGCAATGGTTGAAATCACCCAAGATGAATTTGGGAGAGTCTGGTGATATGAGTTCCAGTTAATTTAATAAGTTTGTGATGTGTTCAGTGGCTGTGGCTGCGTTAGCTCTGGGGTGGATGTAAACCAGGATGAGAAAAAGCTGTGGAAATTCTCTGGGGAGATAGAAAGGGCGAAGGGAGACAGCCAGAAGCTCAATGTCCGAGGTGCACAGTTTCTCCCTCACGACGATCATCGAGCACCAGTGTGTATTTACATAAAGACACACGTCGCCGCCATGTTGTTTCCCAGTGAGCTCACTGTCTCGATCAAGTCTTAAAGGGGGGGGAGAAGCCATCAACGTGCAGCGTGTTATCATCGTCGCTCTTATTTAACCACGTCTCAGTAAAAGCAAGAACAGAGGCAGTCCTGTACTCATGCATGTGGTTAATGTTGGCCTGTAACTCGTCCGTTTTATTGCGGAGGCAGTGTACATTAGCCAGGATGATAGATGGAAGCGTCCGTTGTTTACATGTCTCCCGTTTGAGCCTGGCTCTGATTCCTCCCTTTCTCTTTCTCCTCCTGGTTACCTTGTTATTTTTCTGAGTGGAGTTGTGTTGGCTGACTGAGTTATCCCGGAGAATTTCTTCGGGAAGCATGTCTGTGTTGATGGCATGATGAGTTTTAAATCCGAGCTGTAGCAGAAATGTCCAAAAAAGAATTCGGGTATCCATGCCAATGGTAAATAATTCCGGGGGATGAAAAAGAAAAGAAAGAAGAAGACTGCCGTGCTGTAGTCCGTTTGTCGCAGTGTTCACAGTTGTAAACAAAGAGCAGGGCTATGAGAGGACGAGCGTGGGAAAAAAGAAAGTCCGCTTCGTCTGTGTGGTAGCGGTCAAAAGTTATAAAACACACTCTTCCTGTGTGTCCTCGGGAAAAACCATGGAAAACAATATATCTAAAGAAAGATAAACAGTAGAAAAACGTAATAAACGCTAAATAACTGCTCTGTGAGCCGGTCAGTCTTCCGCACGAGCAGCGACCCGGAACCGGAAGTCTGCCTCACGTTCTGACAAGTTCCACTCGATATTCTGTTATTTATAGGAGATCAGAAGAGCTTCAGCAGCAAGCAGCTGTACATTAACATTTTTAAATGAAGCCATGAGACACTTCAGTTTAAACAGGAGCAAGCCAAGAGGGGTGTACGGACAGTGGACCTTCTCTTGACCTCTCTTTCTTTCTCTGAAGTGTGATTCTGCTCTCTTGTTTTTTCTGTGTCTTAGCTCTCTGCAGGAGTCAAGAGGGAAGTTTTTTTGTAAACAGGAGTTTTGTTGCACGGAGCTGTGAGGTTCTCGCACGCTCTCTCTCGTGCACGCAGCAATTTATGAAAAAAATAAAAATAAAATAAAAACAGGTCGGAAATATACTAAGGCAGGTCCAGGTATCGTCTATGTGTGGGAGACACTGTTTTATGTATTTTTACTTTTTCAAACTACTTTGTTAACTTCAAAAATAGAAAAAAACGCAGCAGAAATATGGATGTTATATTAGAATTATACTCTCAGATTCTTACCAAAGGCTTAAGATGAAGGGTTTGGCTGATGTGTTTTTGTGTGTCAATAGCCAAAATATGATACGCAACAGATGTGCATAAATGTACTCACCAGGACTCCTAGAAGATATGACCTCATGTGTTAGTGTTTCAAGATGAGATCCATACATTGTCCATGTAAGAATGAAGTTACTGTGCACACTATCAATGTATGTTCTTTTGTTGCATTTACTGTATGTTTATTCTTGTTTTCCTCTAAGGGCAAGACTCCTAAGAAAGACTCTGTGAAGACAGCCAGCAGCCCCAGGTAGGGATGAAATCATAATTATTGATTATAAGCAGACAGCCTTCTATGGATGCTACCTCTCGTCTCTTTGTTTCACTTCATACCTCTTCCCCCTCAAAGTGATGGAAATTAATTCTTGTGTTTCAATGTCAAGGCCCTGGATATAGAAGCCATTCCTATTTTATACAAAGTGTTGAAAATTAATCTGACTCTGTACTAAAGAATGCTCATTATTAATAATAATAATACATTTTATTTATAACGCACTTAACATTTAAAGGAAAATCTCAAAGTGCTACAATTTCAATAAAACTATAAAAAAAAGAAGACAATTAGAGCAACTAATGTCAATGGACGCAGTGACCAGCCTTCCTTTGTGTAGCGTACTATGGATTTTGCTCAGCAATGCCTTGTGGAAAAACATGAGCAATTCTACACTCTCTCTGTTTCTTTCCTCCTTAAACACTTGAGCTGAACTGCTTGGCTTCAACACACACTAAGGTTGGCAAAAAAGAAAAAAGAACAGATGGCCAAATTCTTATCTTGTTTATGTAGTTTGAGGTGTATATAAAAAAAGCTTTGGCTCCCTTTATGCACACAAACTTTATGAGCCGGGACCGTTTGGGTAGTCCCAGTCAAAGATATCTGGATTCGCCCCCTCCTGTTAAACTAATGCACTTGCAAGCATGTCGTTTTACTTTGGCCAGCTGCAGGACAGAGGGGGCATCAAGGACAGGGACTCGACTTCCATCCAGGGAAAAGTCAGACAACTTCTCAAGGATCACAATCTTGCCTCCATTGATCTCATTCACAGTGACTGATGCTGCTTCTGCTGAGAGAGTCATGTCTGATTTCACAGCTTTAAAAGCGTTTTCCTATTGAGACTGATGAATCCTAACAAACACAGTAAAAGAAGAAGATCGTGCTTAAAGCTCCTGTCTGGTCCGATCGTCTCTAAAATGTCTTAAAAGCTGTTTCTGTTGGGACAAACTCATAAACAGACAACGCTGAGCACTGCACTCTCTCTTATTTAAAGTCAATGTTGATCGCCCATCGACTATCTGTCTCCCTTCCTCTGCTATGAATTCAAACCAATAATACATCCAGATCTTAAAAAAGAGGGGATTTCTTAAACCGAATTAAAATCACAATGTTGTGAAAAATGGATGTATTGGTTTCCACCATGCATAATGTTTTTGCATTGTAACAGCAGCATGCTTTATTCTCGTGTGTCAATTGAAATATGAAAAGTCGGCGGGTGAACAAAAGCTGTCTCTGTATCGTTGATGTTCAGAGAAAAGATCTTTAGAAGAAGCCAATAGAATATGGTATGTGAAAAGGAAAGAGTTGTAACTTCCTCAAGTAACCCTTAACACCAGCACTGCCTCTGAGACAAACCATAAAGGAGGTGTGTTGGTCAGAGTGACGAAAACTCGCCCTCGATAGGAACACGTGAGCAGAACAGAGACTTTGCTCTGGACAGAGAAACACATGAAAGACGTCCATGCTCTGCAAGAATAAAACAAGTGCACATAAATCACATACATTCCACAGATAAAGTATTTGTTGCCTTTCTTTTGGAGTGGTGCGAGGCTGCCACTCCAAATAAATGGTAGAAACACTGAAAGCTTGTGACACCTGCAGCGAGACGGTGGGGTTTCTGCATTCTGCGATTTAAGATTGAAATCTCTCTTTGTTTCCTGATGGTCACTACACTCAAAGCCTTGCCTTTGGCCTTTGTTGTGTTTTTCCAGCATGATGTCTTCTTAAAAAATGCGGTGCAGGTTGGAATAAGCACTCTTTTTAGTCTGAGTGGCATTTATTGTAAGTGCATTGAAGCCTGGAGTGTAATTATAGTGGCATGCTGTTTTGATCTGCAGATTGCTGAGAGCAAAACCTGGAACATGAATTAATTTGACTATTTGAAGCTTTACTGTCCTAATGGCTCATTAATACAAATAAAAAAAAAAGTTGTTTTTAATGTTATTCAAAATGAATAAAATTGAGTATATCCAGAAGTGGATGTTAGAAGTTTTAAACTAATTGTGAAATAGTCTCAAATTAGATTATCAGCAAAGAGGTTCTTCTGTTGTACTCCATCGTAGGTTGTGATCTTAGATTGTATAAAACATGGACTTAAAATGCTGTCTTAAACTATCTTTTCCCTCAACCTAGTCGCATGCAGAAGGCCTGTCAGTCAAATTAGCCATGGCCTTTAATATATACATATATGCTAAACTCTTAGCATTAATATAACCAAAACAAGTTTGCACCATTAATGAAATTGGCTAATCAGACCAAAACCCGTTTTTGAACCAGGCTGTAAACATGGTTATTTCTGCTGTGAAAATGGGCATTTAAATATGGGGTGTGACTGATTTCTGAGGCTTTTGCAGCCAGCCTCAAGTGGACACTCGAGGAACTGCAGTTTTTTTGCACTTCGGTATTGACTATTGTGGTTGCCGCTTGGATGGAAAATTGCTGCGTGCACGGATGGAATTTGGAATCGAAATGAATTAATTTACAGCCCTCAGGCTGTCAAAGTCCCGCGGTGAGAATTATTGGTTTTTACATTCTACATTGTACTTACGGTTGATATTGGAGCAGGATAAGGAGAAAGTTTTTGCCACTTTATAATTAGTAACCTTATGTAGCCCCAAATACAGTGCATACATTATGTTGTCACTCTGCATCCTGCAAAAAAAACATTATTCAACAAAGGTAGAATTAAAAAGCAACTGCATATTCCTCTCAGTTGCTTCCAAAACAAGTGCATGCATTGGCAATAGCAATGTCCTAATGTCATTGGGTGATAGTGCTCATGGGAAATGCAGTTTCCATCCCAGAAAAAACCCTACAGAACTTAACTGAAGGGGTCACCACAGTCATCACAAAATGAAAAAATGCTCAAAGGGGCTTTAAAGTACAACATGTATCTTCTGTAGAAGTTCTGTGTTTTAAACCTGTTCTTGAACAGAAGCAGCATTTACTGCAGAGGGCTCATCACGCTCAGTCAGTCGCCATCAGAGGCCGTGCAGTGGAGGTGCATTAGAGTCATAAAGTGTGTTCCATATACCTGTTACCACAGCGGATTATAATTTGGAGTCATTAAGGCAGTTTGACAATTATGTGCTACATTTGTGTCATTTTCCTTTAACTAACTGTTAGTGAAGGAAAGGGGAAACACAGTTAATTATTAGCGGTCTCTCGTGTTGATTTCTTAATTTGGATAATTTTCCTTCGTACCAATTCCTCACTCTGCAGGGAAGAGCAAGCTTACAAATGTGAAATGATCTTTCTTCTTTTCAAATTGTTGCAATTATGTAATTATCATCAGTGTTTGGATAATGTTGCGTCATTACTATAATTATGTGATTTCTGGTGGTCAGGGTGCCACTGTTGGTTGATTTTTTTTTTTTTTAACATGGAGGGTCATTTTGTCTGTACTCTGTAACCAGTAGGGTGGAAGGCGGCAGAGAAAGCAGCCATTAGGTTTTTATTCAGCCTTTTATTTGTTGAAAAGTAAGTTATTCAAAATCAACAACTCATCTGTTTTTTAAAAAGATAAATTTAAGATAAATCCGAAGAAAATGATATGATACTATAAATGTGTTTGTTTTTACTGTAGTCAAGAGGGTGACTGAGCACAGCCTCAGACCTGCAGTCCACCATGTGCTGTGAGTTAAAAGATACTAAAACATTAAACAAGATAAGGACAACAGAACAGACTACTGATTGAGTTGTGGCAGTAACAATTCTGGAGTCTTTTGGGGTCCAAAGCAGGAATCAATTGGGGGGCCCTCAAACTAGCGTGCATCATCATCATGTCTGCTAGTGTCCCGACGCTCTTATATCTCTCCTATAGATGGATCATTTCTCTTCATTTGTCAAACTTTTGGTTTCACAGCAATAATGCAGAATGCAAAATTTGCATATTTTGGTCCACTGCTTTGTTTTAAAGTTTGTGAGCCCTCAGCCCCCCCCCCACTGATCTGGGCCCCCAAGAAGTTGCCTGCCTTGCAGCGCCTCTGACTTGAGGTGCACAGGACGATCACTGTGCTCTGTTCTTTTTGTCATTCAGTGAAGCTGTGAAACAGGAGCAAGAGGATGACGACTTCACTACTAAACAGAGAGGGTTGAAAAGGAAAAGAATTAAGGATGAACCCATGGAAGGCCCTTCACACTCCACTGCTACACCAAGGTAATTGTGAACAGGTCTACGAGCTCTGCTTTGAGCTGCAGTAAACATTTTACATGCAGGCTTTAAAGATCATTTCTTGTTTAGTGATAAATGAATTCAAAGCTCAAACTAGAGATGCACCAATGCTGTATCTGATACCTGGGCTTTGGGTATCCACCTAAACAAGTACCAAACTGATAACCTGTGTTTAGATTAATAACATGTAGGGATTTAGAGATTCATCGTTAGGCAGTCAAAAATCGATTCAAAGGTGTCAAGGTTCACATGGGTACTCTGAAAAAATGAATCGCTTCTCTTTTTTGACGACATGCGTCTCGTGTGAGCGTCAGGAGCTGTAGAGCAGAGGCGGTTGGTTGTAAGAAGTAGGCGTTATCATGGCAGCTGCTGCGCAAGATTTTGAAATTGAGGACACACCACCGTCTTTTAAATCGGAGGTGTGGAAGCATTTTGGCTTTCCCGAGACATAAAATGAAAGAGGTGAGAAGATAACAGACGAGACAAAAACTGTGTGCAAATATTGCAAGAAGACAGGAAACTACATAAATAGCACGACCAACATGATGCAGCATTTCATCGACAACACAATGAGAAGCTCCAATCACCTCCCCTCGATGAGAGAAAAAAACATCAAAAGGCCCAAACCACACTGACAAACGGGTTTGCAGCCCCACTCGCCAAAAAAATGCAAGAGCCAAAGAGATTACGAGGTGCCTTGGTGTTTTCATGAAAAAATTAAAGGAATCTTTGTCAGTCATAATTTGTCTTCAGTCTCATTTTTTAAAATAAATCGAGAGAATCGTTTCGTGAGTTGAGTGAACCGTTTCATCCCATAATAACATGAATTTCTAACTGGTTATTTGTAATATTACATTTGGCTTTCCAAGCTTTCTAAAACATGAGAAAATAATTCTAAATATTCTGTAAGGCTGCATCGATTCGTTGATGTCCTCGACAAAAATGGATGACAAAATTAGTCTCAGATTAATTTATAGTTGATCATTAGTCGCCATGTTTTTACGCAGTGTGCAGATGCAACATTGTTTTCCAGAGTCGAGTTGCTGAGTGGAGTGAGTCATCTTGCATCCTTACTATTTCCGCTGAGAGTTGCCTATGCAAAACAGCGACCAGGAAGTGACAGGGAAACAAAACAGAATAAGCATAATTTGCACTGCAGACGTAACACCATTGCGGTCTAAAACTTATAAACTCTGAGAGCAATTCACGTTCGACGCTGTAAATTAAAGTGTGAACTTTTCTTGCTTTAGAGTCCTGACTGTAGTCAGAAAGCACAGGGGAGACTTGGTCTGCTCCAGGGTTTAGGTTATAGCTAACTTCGGGGCTAACCCCCGTCTCTTTAAAGGGATAAGTCACCCGTTGAATCTGTATTGACATTGGGTCATATATGTAGTAGAAATGTGAAATACATTTTGAAGTTGATGCCTTCTTGGCTGAGAAAAGGCAGAAAATGTCTTTTTGGCTCATGTGGATGAAAGACACCAAATCCCAGAATGCACAGCACCGCAGGCCACTCCCCCTAAGGTCCTCTAGTTCAGAATCAGAAATACTTCATTAATCCGAGAGGGAAATTGGATCGATACAGTTTCTCCAAAATATACAGTATAGCAGTAGAAATATAATAATAAAAACATTTACAGACATATTTACTTCAACACATAAGAGCGTTTCCTCAACTGATTCAGAGAGAAAACAGACTCTATGTCTGTGTCCACAGGCAAACAGTGAGAGCACTGACACTACCAGTCCGCCCCAGCTCGAGCCGGCCCCGCCATTATCAGCTTCCTCCATAGAGCCTGTTAGCATAGCTTCCCAGCAATATGGCGGACATTAAGTTTTGATTCTGGGAGTGAGTTCCCTCCCACTGATCTGTGATTGGTCTGTAGCTTCAGTGGTCGAAAATATGAGGAACTAGCGTTGTAGTTTCACCCCGCTAACCGCAACACCTTCCAGTGACGCAATATGACGATATTTGCATCACTGGAAGCTACTTTTCAGACTCAGAAATACAAAGATTTCCCATCTCAGGGGAAAATGAGGGCAGGATGCACGACCATTCAAAAAAACTACCAGGTTTCTAATAAAAAGCAGTAAGAAACACACGGGAGCCTGTGGAATTGAAGGCGTTTATTGTTGGACGCACAGCTTTAAACTGTAGGCTACATTCATCTGACTATTTCTTAGAGCTACCCATCTCTCCTCCTCAGCTGCTCAGGACAACATGTAACTCTCACACACACACCACTTGACTTTCACCTCTCCTCACTCGCTCTACCAGCTTTATTATCCAACCCCCCCCCCCTCTGCTTGTCATAGGAGCATCATGTCAGTAATGTTCGAGCATGGGAAGAGAAGTCACCCTGGACGTCTGTCGTTTAAAAATCCTCTCAGACATTCATCTTCACGGTCCAAAGTTTCAGCCATGCAGTCGTTTTTCTCTTTTCAGTCCCTCACCTTAAAACCTTTCCCTGAGAATGCTTAACCCCTCCCCTTTCTTCTTTCTCTTTCCAGAGCAAACCCTGACCGTGTTATTCTAGTTATACTGATTGAAAAAGAATTGATCACTCTTCCATTAACATTAATTAAGTTTAAAGCCAAGACAAAACTATGGCTGCATTCAAGATTTTTCATGGCATAATGTAAAATTGAAAAGTTAAAGGGGAAAGTTATGTAGAAAGTCGTGTTAAAAGTAGAGAGATGTTCACTTTTTGAAAAGGTCGCGTTCAAGCATGCAGCGGTTGAAGGTGGCTTGTCCACTTCTGGATTTTGGCTGGATTAGCTTGATACCAGATCAAGCTATTTGAGTCAGTATTTGACCAGAATCTAAGACCAGGATCTGATCTGTGCATCCCTAGCTCAAGCCATCACTCTTTGTCATACAGTGTGCCCTTAATTTTTCTCTCTGTCTTTTGTGAAGCTCGAGCTCAAAGAGAAAAAGAAATCAACACAGGCAGGAAGAGGAATGTGACGAAGAGGCTCCGAAGAAGTCAAAGAAGAAAACCGAAAAGGTAAACATCTTCAACCATGAATCAGTGTAATTTATGAGTGCACACATTTTTAACATCCATGCTGTTTTTCTCCGTTCAGACGGTAAAGAAAGAGGAAGGGGAGCACCTCATCTCCAAAAAAGCTAAGAAGACAAAGACGGAGATTGAGGAGGCGAAACAGTTGAAGATCAAAAAGAAAGAGGAGGAGGAGCAGAGCCGCTGGAGATGGTTCGCTCTCTTCATTTCACATTGATCAAACCACATAGACACATGATTTAACACAATAAACACACTGGGAACATGGAACAGCAGTTTCCACCCTCTCAGACACATCCTCATGTTTTCATCATCTTGCTTTCTTGTCAGGTGGGAAGAAGAGAAGTATGAGGATGGGGTGAAGTGGAAGTTCCTCGAACACAAAGGACCCTATTTTCCTCCTGAGTACCAGCCGCTGCCTGACAACGTTCACTTCTATTATGATGGTCAGTTGAGCAGACACATTTTGGGAATAAGACCCAGACAGGGTTTAAATGGTTTTTAATGGTGCACTTCACTTACTGTACTTTCTCTCAGGACAGTAATTCATGCTGTTTAAACAACCAAACCAGATTCAGGACTTGAGCCCTGTGGAGTAACACACCCATGTTTTTATTCTCTTATTATGTAGACAACAGTTCAATACATGGATGCACTTACGACCCTGTGGTCCAAATGTAAGACGACCCTTATTATTCGGCGATCCCCCTTTTCAGGACTCAGGACTGGAAAACAACTTTGTGAGAGAAAACTGTTTCATTTGAAGACAAAGCAAACACAAAGCAGTGAATAATACAAAGTAGGTTGTTGCTGTGAGCACTTTTTAAAAATGTTTTATACTCTTTATTGAAAATTTCAATACAACACACAATACCCCCCACCCCAAGTGACCAGACAGTATATTCGATTAAACAGAAGAATTACAGAATAATATAGAAAACAAATGAATAATTATAAAGAAATAGCAATGTAAAAAAGAAACAAAAAAATATATATGTAAATTTACATGCTATTACACTCTTGCACATATACATGTATATACATGAAAGGAAATAATAATAAAAAGAGATATCAGACTTAAATAAAAAAAACACAACTACAATATCATAAATTTATCTTATGAATTCAGAAAAAAATAAAAAATAAAGTGAGCACATTTTTTATAACACTTTGTTTTTAATGGATAAAATTGGCTTTTACATTGAATGATCACATCTTGTGTTCAGTGACAAGTAATGGCTTATCATAAAATACAGGTGGTGTTTGGTCAGCGTCTCCCATTTGACCAGGGGATAGTTAGATCAGATTGACCTCATTAGAAAGAAAGACAGAAAGCAAGTGGTGACACATTGATTGGGTCAGTGCTTCAGCAAGCAGCATGAACTTTAGAGCAGCCATAAAATTAAATAGAATTTAAGAGCCTGGCCCGATGCGAGCTCGAATTATGTATTATTTCATTATTTGTAACAACAAAGCCCTTCCCGTTCTGCCCCCGAACTCAGGCCTCGGCTTCCTTAGGGCTCGGCTTCTTCTTCTTAAAATGGTGTATTTGTGTTTGTGTCTTCAGGCAAGAAGGTGAAGCTGAGCTTGGCAGCTGAGGAGGTGGCACTTTTCTTTGCCCAGATGTTGGACCATGAGTACACCACCAAGACCGTGTTCAGGGAGAACTTCTTCACTGACTGGAGGCAGGTGAGGCCGAAACACATCATGCATCTTTCCAGTTTTTTAAGAAACAGAAATCTTAATCGTGACCCCTTAGGTGACTCTTTTCGCCCACAGGTGTGTTTGAATAGTGGGGTTCATTAAAGACCTAATGCATCATAGTAGAGGTCAAAGTCTGTATAATTTCTGAGGCTCCTTAAAATGCAGCCCCAAAAAATATGTTTTTTTTCATCATCAACACAAGCTTGTGATAGGCTGCGAGCACAGGACATGTTCTATTAAATGGGAGCGCTCTACTGTTTTTAACACTTTATTGTGGCAACAATTACAGTCATTCACAAGATGTCCCCCCTGTTTATAAATGTTTTTTTAATTGTAAATAGAAATGATCGGCTGGTCAATCAGATGTCAACCGCAGGCTGGAGTTGGCCCCTGGGCCGCCAGTTGAATAGGCCCGGTTCTAGACTGACTCATTTCAGATCGACCCGAGCAGGCCTGGGTCCTTTGAAGGATGCTACTCCTGAATTGGGATTCAGCTCTTACATGGCAACGCCTAATGACAGCTGACATTGGCTCAAACCCTCTGTGACGCCTCGCAGGATCGGTATTCAAACGGTTTTGTGAGATTTCCTAACGAAGAACCATTGTTGGTTTTGATGCTGGAATGATTCTGATGACTTGCAGCTGTGGGTTATTTCCAGGCACATTAGTACTCAGCTTCTTGTAACACCAGCTTCAGTTTCAGAACTCTTCTCTTAAAGTTTAAGTTGATTTCCATCCAGCTTTGAGTGTTAGTACCTTTGTGACAATTGTTTGAAAACCTGCACGCTGTGCCTGTCACGGTGGCCTCTGCACAGAGAAAACCGCCGTGCCAACCCCTGAGGCATATCATGCAGAATTAATTTTGCGCTGCTTAGTGCTCAATGCACTTGAAAATACGATTTGTGTGAAGGCATTGATATGCTAATCCATACAAGAAGCTCCCCTGCATATGAACAAATCCAATTAAACTGTTTTATTATAGCCGGAAAAAACTCTCCTCGCTCCACTGCCCCCAGTGCCCGCCCACCGCCGAGTGTCAGTCATGCTTAGACACAGACTGATTCTGTGTCCGTACTGTCAGGGAGTTTCAGGATCACGGTGTGTGTGCCAGGGTTTGCTGATTTAGAGATAGGTTTTTGCATCTCAGGCCTTCTGAACCTTGGTGACACAACCACAAACAGTCTGATTAGCTTGATAGAAAAGATAATCCTTTTTTATCAGTCATTTAAATGTTTATGTTAGATAAGTGGAGAAAATCTCATCAAGATTCTAGCTTATTGAAAGACCTGTACATCATTTACCGTTAAGCTCTGCCATCAGAGGCAATTATGACTTAAACACTGACATCTCTTATGGGATGTTGCTCTCTAGATTGTCAGACTGAAGTCCCTGCTGCTGGAGGAGGCCATATTAAAAGCCACTCATGTTGTCATGACATTCAAGCACCAGAAACCGCCGAGATGAACCGTGAAGCGTCCACTGAAATTCTCCGTATTGCTGCCCTGTTAGTGGCCCTTATGATTGGGAGGATCGCTGTGCAATAACCTCAGAAAGTTGACAATTATAGTTGAAACTGCTGCTGCTTTCTGCGTACTGCTGTGAAGCCTGTTTTTAAAGCTTCTTCAAAGGAGACCAGCCCCTTAAAGGAGGGATTGGCCTTTCATAGGGGGTTAGTGATTCACTCAACTCAACTTTATTTTACAAAATGAGACTATAGACAAATTATGAGTGAAGAAGATTCCTTTTCAGATTCAAAGCCGTTTGTCAGTGTGGTTTGACCTTTTAATGTTTTTGTCTCACATCAAGGGGAGGTGATTGGAGCTTCTAATTGTGTTGTGGATTAAATGCTGCATCATGTTGGTCGTGCTATTTATGTAGTTTCCTGTCTCCTTGCATATCTACACACAGTTTTTGTCTCGTCTGTTTTTCTTCTAACCTCTTTAATTTTCTGTCTTGGGGAAGCCAAAATGCTTCCACACCTCCGATTTAAAATACATTGGTGCGTCCTCAATTTCTAAATCTTGCCCCGCAACTGTCAGCCGCCTCTGCTCTACAGCGACTGACACTCACCATATTATTGCGATTCATTTTTCAGAGTACCGATGTGAATCTTGACACCTTTTAATCGATTTATCATGATTTTACGGTTAATCTTTACATCCCTAGTCTTTCATATCTATACCGTTTAATTAATTTCCTGTCCAACACGCCAAATCAACCAAAAGTCGGTGATCTGCTGTGATCCTGCACATCCTCTTCAATTTTTATGAAACATTAAGGACTTTCCACAAACAGCCTACTTCTCACTTGATAACAGCTGGCTACTTCTTTCCATTGTTGATTTTGATAATAGTATGAAGTTTGATGGCTGTATGTCTGTGTAAACACCGCCCCCCTGTGTGAGTGTGGGGACACAGGCGCACTCAGCAGGGAGGAGATGTCAATTTTTCTTATAAATATTTCCTCATTAATTGAGGAGAAGAATTGGATTTCACTACACAGCGATGGTTGCCATATTGTCTGACAGTGGAAAACACAGGTGGCAGCGACATGACGCCTGCACTGTAAGCTCTAAAAAGTTTTCACATTTTCTCCTAAAGCGTCTGCTCCTCTGTCCACGTGCGGGCTGTCTTTCTCTCTCCCTCTCGACCCGACGGAGACCTTTGCTTTTTGATACCAAGTTGGGCAGCTGTGGTTCAGTTGGTAGAGTCAGTTGAGGTCGGGGGTTCAATCCCCAGCACCTGCAGCCACATGTCCGATGTGTCCATGGGAAACTAGACACTTAACCTCACACTACTCCCGCAAGTAGCAGTCTCTACCATCAGTGTGTGAATGTGTAGGTGTGACCTGTGGTGTAAAAGTGCTTTGAGTAGTCAGAAGACTAGAAAAGTGCTATACAAGCTCAACTCCATTTACCATCTACCACAGCCTGACGTGTTGGTTTCAGTAAAATGCTGTTCTCACTTTAACATCATGTTTTAGTGTGTTGTTCTGATGTACCATGTACCGTATCCCAGGGCTCATTATAGACTTTATTTATTATCAAAGGATAAAAACAGTCCTCCAACACCTGAAACTGATGCAAGGAGAGAGCGATGCAAGGAGAGAGCGATCCTACAGTCAGAGTTTAAGAAGTAATTTAACTAGAGATGCACCGATTCACGTCTACACTGTTGACATGTTAGCTTGTTGTGTGTGTGGCCGTCCCTTAGTGTTTTAGTTGCTGTGCACAGCGCGCACTTTAATTTAAAAACAGACCCCTCTAAATGGCTACTGGAAACATTACTGTTGTAATGGACAGACACAGGTTCAGCCCGAGAGTATTATTAGCTCCCAGTTAATTGAAAAAAGCAGCACTGTAGATTAGGGGTGTGAACGGTTACAAAAAATTGTAAACGGTTACACAACGTCATTTTTTTCGTGTACACGGTTAACCGTTTAAAAAAAAAAAAAAAATGTGTTAATAAAAAAAGAAAAGTGGACCGCAATCGCGCTATACAACCAATGGAGGGTGCGGCCGCTTTTCAGAAAGATTCCTCCGCATCACTGCCGCCTCTCAAAGTTGTCAGACAGATACAACTGTGCTTTATAAAGTAGGCTATATAAGTAACACAGAAAACTTGCCATAGAATTTGTAAAAACAAATACCTGTATGTATTTATTTTAGGCCTATATAGGCCTATAACAAGGCTATGATAAAACAACTACCATGATGAGTATGAAATCTCTATTTTTTGAAAGGACAAGAGACAAAAGATTTCTGCGTTAGTTTCTTTTCCTTTGCTTAGTAATATGCTTAAATTCATTATTTATGAATTTATATTTATTCTCAAAATAAAAATGTTTTCGCTTACTGATTTTTCATAAATGGTTATGATTTACTAACCGGTTACACGTGTACATGTGCACACCCCTGCTGTAGATCTCTTGTATCTTTCTTTCTTCAACATTATGAAACATCAAGTCAAGTGTTTGGATGTTGCTTTCTCTTTGTGATCAATATTGAGGCCTTCATCAACATTTCAACTCCAGCTGGAAGCTTTTGAGTTGAGTTTGTGCTGAAAAACCATCAAACTGTGAACAAAAGGAAGTGTGTTTTCATTGCCATCATTTGTGCTACTCGTTCAAAGTGGCACCGAGAGTTATTCTGGCACTCCAAGATACTTGAGCTGCAATTAACATTCTTAACTATGGAGGAATTCATATATTTTTCTTTAGATTTCATTTATTTTGACCTGGAGTGGAAGCTGAAGGGATGATAGTTACATTTAGTCAATACATTGCCAGAACATGTAGAAAAATGCCGTTCTTATGCACTCATTGTTTTATCACTGAAGAATACCCCAGCTGTTACGCAGATGAAAAACATACCTGCTGGACACGAGAAGAGACGACACTCCTGTGTTTCATATTCTGCTTTTAGGAAATGACCGATGAGGAGAGAAAGCTGATTCAGGACCTAGACAAATGTGACTTTGGAGAGCTCAGTGCCATGCATAAAGCCAAGGTGGAGGCCAGAAAGAACATGACTAAGGAGGAGAAACTGGTAACATTCACTTAGATTTTCTTCTTCTGTACATGTGTGTACATTGTTTTCTTAACGTAATGTCCTCCTCCTGTCTGAAGATTGTATAACAAAGATCTGGACAATTTGATTTCTGCTGCAGGCTGTGAAAGAAGCCAACCAGTTGATTGTGGACGAGTACGGCTTCTGTCTGCTGGACCAGCACAAAGAGCGCATCGGGAACTTTAAGATTGAGCCTCCGGGGCTGTTCAGGGGCAGAGGAGAGCATCCCAAGCAGGGCATGCTGAAGAAGAGGATCCAACCAGAGGATGTCATCATCAACTGCGGCAAGTGAGAGTTGGGCGAAAGGATCAAACACTTGACGGAGATTTATCACTGTGTACTGATGCATAATTGAGAAGCTGGTCTGATGAAATAATGCAGATTTTTCAAAATGTTCATCAACATCTTTCCATCCAGTTTGAGATGTGCAAAGGCAGCAGTGATACACTTCTGCAGAAGGTGCTGTGTTCAGATTTTGACAAAATGTTTTGTTGCTTTTAGTAACTTTAGAAATAAGAGATGTTAAAACAGTAGTGCTGGAGAATGAAACTTTGACTCTCAGTAGCCTGGCATGCTGTGAACGCGTTGTCTTTATTTCATGTCACATAGATCAAGTTTACAGCTGAATAATCCTCTCTTCTCGCACTGCTGTGACATTCATGTTCTAAAGGTTTGAGTCTGTGCAGGATGCTGAGACTCTCAGTCCCCGATGCTGTGACTGCTCACACTCCTCTCTCTCTCTCTCTCTCTCTCTCTCTCTCTCTCTCTCTCTCTCTCTCTCTCTGATTGACAGAGAATCTTGTATCCCAGTGCCCCCTGCTGGTCACCGCTGGAAGAAGGTGCAACATGACAACTCGGTGACATGGCTGGCCAGCTGGACTGAGAACATCCAGGGATTGATTAAATACATCATGCTCAATGCCAACTCCAAACTAAAGGTATCCTGTTGGTCTGCTGTCAAATACCCCCCCCCCCCCCACACACACACACACATCATCATCATCATCATCATCATATATTACAGGCCCATAAACCAGTACAGTAACAGACAGAAGTAAAAGAGCGGCAGAGCTGCACAGAAACTGCACTTCAAAAACAGACTGCGTCTTATATATCGGTGTGACTTATATTCTGGATTTGACGGTATATAAGAAAGACCCGTTTATATCCTGTTATAATTCTGGGTGGATTCAATTTAACCTGCGATGCTGTGTTGAAAATCTTCGTTTAGTTGGCTTAAAGATCCAGGAGGTGAGATCCTGACGGCAGCTTGACAGAAAGTGATTTAGTCTGAAGGTCTAATATCTAGTAGTTATATATATATATATATATATATATATATAACTACTAGAACCTAGCATGTTTGTGTGTTGAGTTGAGCCTACACTTTGTGTGTGTGGGATAAATATGTATTTATAATGTTTTGTTGCACAAGTTTAAAAAAATTATCATGTCATGGAAAATAGAATTGATATTTTAGGGGTTAGAGAGTGAATGGCAACCCCCGTGTGTGTGTGCGCGTGTGTGTGTGTGTGTGTGTGTGCGTGTGCGTGTGCGTGTGCGTGTGTGTCTCATTATTCAGTCCCTTTCTCTTGTGCTCTTTTCTGTTTGCTCGATCTACCTTCTTTCCATCCTTCATGTGTAAAGGTTAAGTTATTCCACTGTTTGTCTCCATGACTCTGTGTGTGTGTGTGTGTGTGTTCACTGATGGTGGGTTTAATTGTGTCTTGGTTGTGATAAATCAGCAAACAGCAGGAAGCCAGAACTTTGTCCTGAAAGTTGTGTAGTTGCATGTCTCCCTGTTTGTTATCAGCCTGCACTCGTGTTTAACACGTTGACTCTTTAACATCTCTGACTTTGTTTTGTTCCTCTAGTTATTTTCACCTTATTATCTTCTTTCTTAATGTTGCTTTCTTTGTGTCCACACCCCTGCCCCTCCTTTGCTTTCCTTTGAACACAGGGAGAAAAGGACTGGGAGAAATTCGAGGTCGCTCGGAAACTGAAGTCCCGTGTGGACGACATCCGTAACCAGTACAACAAGGATCTCAAATCCAAAGAGATGGTCGTACGGCAAAGAGCTGTTGCCCTCTACTTCATAGACAAGGTCTGGAGTCATCAAAGTGCAGAATTTAGGATATGCTAGCTGGACATGTTTAGGTCGCCCGTGGTAGAAGTAAACTGCAGTTGAATTCAAAGCAGTCCTTCGTGCTTACATATAACAATAATATGAAGAGCCGTGTGAAAGATGTGTGCTCTGCTTTCTCACTTAGCTGGATGAAAGATCGCCTGCAAGGAGAAAAATTGATTACATGTAGCCATTCTCTCCAAGTGACCCGAAGCTAATTATCTCATTCTGTCATTCTGCATTGAGAGAAATGACAGATTGAGTGTGTGATTGCTTTTGGCTCATGCCAAAGACTATTCAAATTGAGATTTAAATGTGTTGTGTTGCTCTTTCTTTTTACTGGAATGTAATCTTTGCATGGGTTTATATCGAACAGACATCTAAAGATGATATCTGTGTCTTCTGCCCCCCCCCCCCCCCCCCGCAGCTGGCACTGAGAGCTGGAAACGAGAAGGAGGAGGGAGAGTCGGCAGACACGGTGGGTTGCTGCTCCCTGCGTGTGGAGCACATCACCCTCCACGAGAAACTGGAGGGAAATGAGTGTGTGGTGGAATTTGACTTCCTGGGTAAAGACTCTATTCGCTACTACAACAAGGTCCCCGTCATCCGGAGGGTAAATAAACATCCACACAGACACGCTTTTGCATGCACATGCTCCTTCTGGTATGTGCTTGATCGCACTTGGGAATATGATTGTGTTGATAGCGATACTTAAAAGGAGGAACGTTTTTTCCATTCTCTGTAAAGATGACCTTGCCACAGTAGAAACTAAGCTCATTATATTTATTCTAATAATTTAGGTTTTGCCCTTTGGGTGTTGGCAGAAGTCCCTGCAGAGAAGGTCACTTGCATAAATATTGACATGCACAGAGCCTGAGGCGCAGAGAGAAGTGAGAGACATCCTCGGGGCACAGTTGTAGATTGGTTCCCTGGGGCTGCGTTGGTTTAATTTGTCTGTCTGTTAGATCTGGTGAACTGCCCCCATGCTCCACTATGCTCCTCTCCTTGATTAAATGTTCATGTAGGTGAATCATCTTCTTTCAGCGTGAACATTTTTGAGATTTCTGTCTTCTACAGACTTAAATCTTATTCTACAAGAGCAGAAGTTCAGCAGGTGGAACAATTATTTCCCTTTATTTCTCAGTCAAATATGAAGCAGCTAAAAAGCCCAAAAACATTCAGTTAGAAGTAGAATGTAAAAAACTTGATTAGAACAATACAATGTATGTATTATATTTAAAGGAGAAATATGTAACTCTAAGACCTAGTGTTTAAAATGGGTACTGCAGTAAATTCAAGACAGAGGCAGCAACCGAACTGCAAGTGCCTACACAATCTGACAGTATTCAGTAGACAGTCCCTTTTATCCGTGCTGTATACTGAAATGTTCAGTCTACTGAGGTGGACTCAAAAAATGCCTACTGAATGACCTCAAGGGTTCAGTCTGCTGAGACTCCCTACTGTAGAGAACACACTCCCATTCTGAACTTTGGCTATTCAGAAAGGGCCAGAGAGAGCTGTCTCCCCCCACCCCCTCCTCCCTGGAGTTGGTGTGAACGTAGGTTGCCATGTCGCAGACACTCAAGCTTTAGAGTTTAACCGGCGCTCCATCGTTCTTGAAACATTTTCAGTTATCAGTCGGGGGAATTCATAATTCCTTCAATAGTCGGGGAGAATGCAGCTGAAGAGAGTGAAGCAGGCTTTACACAACATGACAATCAGCAGCATTACCAGTCTGTGTTTTACTATGAACATCAAAATGAATTACCAATGAGCGGAGTTAAGAAAAAAACCTTTGTTTTTGCTGTCAATTCTTTAAATAAAAAAATCAGAATCTGACTAACTCAGAACCAGGAGGTCAGATCTTTCATATATTGGAAATCAGAATTGTCAAGGGAATTTAATAGAATGCTCCTCCTAACGACGTGTGAACTGTAACACGTCTGAGTTCCTGCGTTGCATCTCAGAGATGGAAAAGTTGGTGCTGTTGCCATTCTGAATAGTTTACATATTTAATAACAGGAAGTAGCCTTAAAGCCTCCTAGTTGCAGGCCTCACTTTCTTCACAGTGGTAAGACAGTTTGAGACTGTTGTAAAGTTTTTATCTTCTTTACTTTGTTTTAATTGAGTTGTTCTGCTCTAAGAATCAGAAATAACCAGGAGCAAAATAATGAAATCACTGCAGCTGAAATCACATAACATGATAACTGTTGTGCTGCAGTCTTTATTTTAAACTTTGTTTACGAGTAAAGAGGTGACAGATTGACAACAAATCATTTAAAATTGTTGACTTGTACATTGAGATTTTTTTTCCATCCATACAAGTTTCATGAATTAAATGACATCCCTGTATGACTGTTATTATGGGTTATGCAAAACAAAATATTTGAAAAGGTTTCATGCTGTCATCGCTCTGCACAGCTTATATTAATATCAGTCTAACGGATGCCAACACTGTTAGTAAAAAAGAAAGAAAAACAGGTCATGTGACACTGCAAACAGTGCCTGGAATTATTATAATTTTTTCTTTAAACCTTGTTGGTCGGGTTGTCTGCAGTCTGTCAGACAGCTGTCACATTTGTGTGTGTGTGCATGTATGCTTATGTAAATGTCCAACCCCTCCCCTGGTATCAGCCCGTGCTATCGTCTGTTCCAGAGATGGAGACAGAAATGTTAGCACCTGACAGCCAAAGTGTTTTGTTTCTTGGCAGAACATATAATTATTCAAATGAGTTCATTCAAAAGCAACACATTAGCTAGAATTAATTAGTCGCTTGCATATTTTAGCATCATCAATTTCCATGGAAATCAGTGAGATGCTGCAAAATGTCAATTGGAATTATAAGGGAAGTAGGGAAGTAATTTCCATTTTTCACCTCTGGTGCACTTTAAGAAACAGTTGGATCTTATAGTTGTGTCTATAGTGAGTTTTGTGGTTATTCTAAGTGTTGTGTGTCTCTATTCAGGCAGTGAGAGAGTGAGTCATATATAGATACAGTTTTATGAAGCCTGCTGTGTATTCTACCCAGTGTTGCTGTGAAAAATCTGCATGCAGAGAACAGGGAATACATACATTTAATTATTACAAGTGCAGCCATGCCATGCATCATATAGACCACAAATACTGCTAGTCACGTATATAATAAATCCTGAATTAAATGATAAAGTGACCTTACTATATGATCAGACATTAAGGAAACATGCTATGTTGAAGTGCTGGCTTCTCTGACAACAATGCAGCAGTCAGTATGTCCTCCTTCTAACTTTAGATTCTGCTCCTGAATGCTCTGGATTTGTTTGGACCAGAGAAGGTAGGCGGTTTTAAAACATCCCCACACGGCTGTTTTGGACGCCCCTCGGTTTTCCAGATATGAGAGCAGTTATCAGGTCAACAGGTGTTGCAGTGATGGAAGCGGTCAAGAGAAGTGGTTCAGATAGAAGTGATTGTACCCGACCTAAAAAGCCTCTGCATGTTTCTAATAAGCTCCACGAGCAGAAACGTGCTCAAACTAGGATCAATATTGGAGATGATTTTGAAAAATGGAGAGAGGTTAGAACACAGAAAGGTTTACAGACCGATGCAGAGCTGGCTAAACACTGAAGCTTCAGTGTCCACTACATTGCCCATCGACTCTAGAGAGGAGGGGGCGGGGGGAGACAGCTCTCTATGATGTTTAGAATCTGGAGTGCAGTACCCATTTTAAACACTAGGTGTCAGAGTTACATACTGCTCCTTTATAGAGAGAGTTGTATTCCTCGCCCATATTAATACTTAGGGAATATTTCAGCCATGAATGATAAGACATAGACTTAAAGCATCTCAGTGTATCTCTTTAATTTTAAGACATATCTACCTATCACTGAGTTTGAACACCAGGCACTTACATTGTTGAATGACTTAATCAAAAAGACCTGGAGTGTGGGGACACCTGCAGTGCATAAATGTATTCTGTCTGGTACATTTATTTGCTTATTTCAACACAGACACTCACATATGCTCAGAGTCACGCTCACACACACATCACTAAACCAGGGATCCCACCCATTGACGCACTTCACTTCATGTCTTCAGTTCCAAAGAAAAAATAAAAAATGACACAAATAAGCTGGGGGAATATGTCGATGTGTTTTATAAAGTAACACATCTGTTGCTATTAATTGGTGTCTTGCATAATTGACAAGTTGTTGTTTTTTGAGTGAAGAGTGCGTCTGTGGAACCAACAGAGTTCTGGGAAGTGTCAGCTGTAACTGTAACACACACACACACACACACACACACACACACACACACACACACACACACACACACACACACACACACACACACACACACACACAGGATTAGGATCATTATGATTCTCACTTTAGTTGACCTGCCTCTCACAGATCAGTGGTGAAAGCACAACCCGTCATTTAGCAGATGTGTTGCTATCTTTTCACAGGCTGCTCCTGCATTGGTTGTTGTGTGAGTCAGACTAAACAACAAATAGGGAGCCAAGAACCAAATGAAACAAACTATCCATACACCAGAAATCACTTTTTTTAAACTGACTCGTCTTCCTAATTATACAACAGATCTCCATGGTGCCGGTTGGTTGGTGATTTAGCAGCTGCAGATTTATTTTACATGATGATGATACATTTATAGGTCGCATGCGGTTCAAACCTGTGGGGGATGAACCGAAAGGATCACAGATCATCTGTGATCCTTTGCACCACTTATGATAAATGCATGTTTTTGTTGTTTACACTGTAAGAGGGACCTTTGACCAGATCTTGTCTCTCTGTCCTTTCAGGTTTTTAAGAGTCTTACTTTGTTCCTGGAGAGCAAGAAAGCTGGAGATGACCTCTTTGACCGCCTTACTGTGAGTGTCTCACTTACTGTCCATACATTTTCTTCCTTCAGTTTTTTTTCTAACACGTTATCAGTCATTGTAGCCGCCAAGGATGTTTCATTTTTACATGCTGAAGCATTGCATTTTAGTTAAAGGCAAGACTTTCTCCAAGGTTATGTAAAATGTGAGAAACTCCCCCCAGGTGTGTAATACATGAAGAAAGGGCAGACAAAGATTGTGAAAAGAAAATAGAATTACCTTTTTTTTTTCTTTTTCTTTTTTCTAGAGACAGAAGGCAGAAGAAAAAAGGGAAAGCAGGGACTAAATTGTAAGGTGTGAGAGATGAGTTTGAATGAGACATGAGCCATTGGTGTAGAGAGATGAAAGGAGTGAAGCAAGGAAACCGAAGATGAGAAGAAGGGGAAGAGTATTGGAAGCGGGGACACTCAAAGCAGAAAGGGAGTTTCAAAAGAGAGAGGGAATAGACTGTGGCAGATAAAAATGAAACTGCGCCACTGGAAATTGAAAGTGAACATGGTGGGCGGATGAATTTCCACACATAAAAATCTGCTTTCCTCTTAACCTCTCCCTCTAGCTTTATGACACAAGGCCGCACAATGGAGCATTTTTACACATGGTTTGTTCAGTGCAGGGAGATGAGGAGCTTCTCAGGGTGCACTCAGTCTTCACTCTACCACAGCAGCATTACTTGTATACTTATCTACTTTTCCTCAGACTGACGAAGTGTAGGTATACACCAATCTTACCTTTGTGTTCCTAACACCCTGGTATATGTTTGTGTTTTTGAAACACTGTGGGACAATACTGAGTACTTACTGGTTACCAGCGGTGGTGTAGTGCTGTGTATACAAACTTTTAAATCCCCTCTGATGAGTATCATCAGAAGTTATGTCTCCCCCTACTCTGTCTCTGATTGGCTAGTACTCTTGTTGCCTTGTTGGTTGGTTGGGTAAGCAGATCAGAGGCAGAGTAGGGCGGGTCATACTTTGACAGTGTTGATGTCACCTGCGGTCTACCTGCCTGCCCCGAGTGATGATAATGCAACAAAACACGGCCTTGTTAGGCACAGCTGCTGCTCTGAAAACATCAACACACAGGCTTGTATAAGTCATTATTACAACAATGTAAATCACATACTTCTACTACGTGAAGGCTGTCCCTGTCAGTGAAACTGTGGGAATGCACATTGTTGTTTTTGTTTTGTGGCAACAAAAGCAACATTTGACTGGTAACAGATACAGGGCTGGGAATCTTTGGGTGTCTCACGATTTGATTTAAATTCTTGGGGTCACGATTTGATTCAAAACGATTTTGGATCCATGACTCAAAGTCTAATTTTTAATTAGTACATCTACTCCAGTCTTCTGTGAGACTGGCTGAATTTCTTGTTGCTGTATTTGGCATTCAGCTGAGTTAAAGAGCGAGCGTTAGCACTTAACAGGGAGTGACTGATTAGTGTGTTTCCCCCCCAAAAAAACCCCCCCAGAAGAATCTGGATTTTTTCCCACCTCTAGTAACAGATTATTTGAAACATAACTAAACAACTGATTATTTGAATTGCAAAACTAAGGTGTTCTTTTACCTGTACAATAATAATGTAATCTGAGATCTCTAATGCTTTTAGCTCTCAACAGCTGTCTCAGCCTGCAGTCTGTGGGGCAGTATTGATTGTGAAAAACTCCTGTAGAAAAGCAGCAGAAGTGAAGATGTTCAAATATGAAAGGCCCCCTTTTAGTTCAAATAATTTGCAAGAGTAGTCTAACATGCCACTCAGGGCGGTTATCCTAAGCTGCACAGCTCCCTTAAAAAAACAAACAAAAAAAAAACACCATTTGGGCATAAATTCAGAGTATGCCTCAATGTGTGAGAGAGACTGAGGCTGTTCTTTAATGAGGGAGACAACCTCTGGTTTGACTAAAGCATCACTTTCTGCTCTCTCTGCTCTGTTTGCAACAGACACAAACTGTGTCTTTGTGTTTATTGGGACTTGGAAACGTCTGAATTTGCCAACCTGTGAATATGAGTGGACCAATGCTGCGGATGCTCTTGCACACGGCTAATCTGATTGAAAATCTACAATTGTTTAAAGCTTTGCTACTTTTAAATTTCATTCTTCATTAAGATATCAGCGGGTACTGTGGCATTGAACAATATTTAAGCATCAAGGATGTTAACAGCCTTGCAAACTAGTGCATGCTTTAAATTGGTTGTTTCATATTTACATTTCTGCCCCATGGTGCTACGTAAAGATTGACAGGTAGGAAGAGGAAGAAGAAGCAGGGCAGGAGTGGAATGAGAGGCTGAGATGAGGAGATGGAGCAATTGAAGGAAGGAGTGCAGTGCCCCTGCTCTCTGCCCTCCAGTGTGTCAGGAAATGTCAGCGTGTGTTGGAGGTGGAATGGTAATGGCTGCTGTGTGCAGGCCTGATTGACACACAGAAAGGCCATGCCACTGAGAGAGCGGCGGGAGAGAGGGGGATGTGGAGTAGGCAGAGTTGTAGGAAAGTGACAGCTGGTCCAGGTTAGAGGAGGTTAGGAGGGAGAAAGCTGGAAAAAGGTAGGCTGAGAGAGCGGGAGGATGTGAAGCGAACATGAGAGAGTGGGAGGAAGGATGGGAGGAAAGTGGTGGACAGTGGACTGTGCTTTTATCTTCAGCGAAGTTTTCTGTGTAGAAGATGGTGCACACTGATAAAATATCAAAGTGCAAAAATGTGGATTGAGGGAAAACGATGAAGGGTAAAACAGATTATTTTAGCAAAAATGAAAAACCAGAATCTCTGATGTCTGATTTTGCTTGATTGATTAGCCTAGTTTTAATGTGTTCTAACTGTGGCCCTTTTCACATTGTGATTCCACAACAGCACCGTATTGCAGCCTGTCCTAACAGCACGCGATGAGAGCGAGCGTCAGCGACAAAATCATCCCGATTCTGTCGTTTCCTAACTGCCTGCAAGCCTATTTTACCCCAACGCCCCGTTTCTATTTTCCTCTCTAGACAGATGAGGAACGAGGAAGGAGGGGGCTCTACCCGGCACTGACTCTCGCTTTTCAACAGAACTTGTTAGCTTGTTTTTCAAAAGATGAGATAACAGTGCATTAGTAATATCCATGTCTGTGATTGAAATGTTATGCTTTGACTTGTGTCAACACCGGAGACAAACTTCATTTTTTCCGGCTCACTGCGGGCCGTTTACTGAAGAGCCTGAGTGTTGTGATTTGAGTCAACAGCTCGTCAACACAAAGCACCACACATCAGTTTGTCCACCTTCAGTACAAAAGCACTAGATGTCAAGCTGTATGCAAGGGGAAACTGAAATTCACAAGCAGAGAATTCAATATTTAACGGATGCTGTGTGGACAGCCAGCGTGCGATCATACACGATGTGACCCGCTATCTAACGCTCGCGTGCTGTTAGGACACAGTGTTACACCTTTGTACATCCAGATTGTATCCGTGATGGCGTTATAATGATGTCCTAGAGTGTGGTTTCACATTGTGTTTCTGCGTGAGACGCAAGGCATGTACGCAGGCAGCAGGAGCTTCACACACACACACACACACACACACACACACACACACACACACACACACACACACACACACACACACACACACACACACACACACACACACACACACACACACACACACAGCACTGCTGAATTCCATGTTACATTCTCACCGTCTTCCCTCCTATTACATCGCTCTTCCTACCGCCGATTGAGGATCTGGGCAGAACAACTTCACCCCACCACTTTGCATCCGCGAGTCACACATTGCAGACAATTGTGCTTAAGCACGTAATGGGACAACTTTGCTAGTGTGAGTGCGCCCTGACTCTTGACTGTTAAGGGTCCAATCCCCAATTGGGGGCTGAGGCTGGATGGCCACGCCCTTCATGTTACCAAGCAAGCCCTTCAATATAAGTTTCGGCTGTGTTGATACAGCGATGCTATTGGAAAAAAAACGTGTGCTTTTGAAAGTACACACACACAGACACACACACCTTGAGTTCTGAATGCCAGATCTGAGCTGAAAATTTGGTGTTTTTCAGGAAGCCTGTCTCCACAGACTACACATCATTAAAGTAACACTTCACACACTGACTACAGTTTCAGGTTAACTGTAAGCTCACAGGGATTTCTTACTCTACATCTTAATCGAACAAATTTAATTATTACCTGTGGGGGAATGTATTCCCTATGAGCTGCTTTATTTTGGCACATGTCATTATTCTCTTTTACTCCGTTGTTTCCCTTCCACCAGCTACTGGAAGAGAGCTTTTCTTCCTGTTGTGGAGAACACATGAATTGAACACAGGGAAGAATCTAAAGCTGATCATTGTAGCTAGGTTAGAGTCTCAGCAGTCAATATTTCACCACACATTGGCTAGCAGGATGTTAATGTGAACGTCCAGTATACTCAATCCTGCAACATAAAAAGCAAATGAGAACTGCAGTAACAACGAGCTGTAACAAAGCCTGAGGAGATGGTGGGGGTAACGCTCACAAACACACGCACACACATGATGACGGGGGAGTTGAGAGCTATCAAACTGGCCCCTCTGATTTGCACACAACTTCATTAGCATTGCACGGGCAATAGTAGCTAGCTCATTAGCAAGCCGGGCACGAGAGCAACCGTGCGTGCGTGCGTGCGTGCGTGCGTGCGTGCGTGCGTGCGTGCGTGCGTGCGTGCGTGCGTGCGTGCGTTTATATGTATATGTATATGTGGACTGATTGATGTGTGTACCTGTGTGCTCTCCACCACATGTATGCACAGGTGAGCACACACAAAAAATCCTCCTCCTGCCTCCTGATAATGGACTGCTGCAATAAGACACACACACATTCAGTCAACTCTGGCCCCAGATATCCCGTTGCTGACCCTGCCCTGATTAAACAAACCACATTATTCTTAAAATCTTCATTACAATTATTTCTTCTTTTTTTTTCTTTCCAGAGATGTGAACTCATCAAACCGGCAGGCTGATCTAGATTTGTTTCCCCCCACGTCTGTGTGCTTCCATCTATGTTTAGAAATATACTTAATTACTTTTCTAAGTCCATGTGTTTGCAATTTATATCAGTGTGTATTCAGGGAGCCTCATGTTTAGTTTGCTTTCACATCAGCCCTCACAACGTTCACTGTTTCAGCCCTTTTTCTGTTCTGGTGAGACTGCAGCGATTGGACAGGAAGGAATGACTGTCAGTATAATATCTTCAGAAATGTCAGGGGGGAAATAGTCCTGTGATTATTTTAATCTCTTCTCTGTAAATGACGACAATAATGTGTGCAGAGATGGTATTTAATGTGTTTTATTTGTCATGGTATTGTACAGACACTCTTAACACTGCAGTGGTATGATGCCACAGTGCCATCTAGTGGTAGAGTTTGAATACAGCTGCTGTGCTCTTGCCATGGCAGCTTGTAGTGTATGTGCTCTGGACCACACACTGATGAAAATGTGCTGCTGTTTCATCCCTCCGCTTCCCATCTCTCATTGCAGACAAGCATCCTGAACAAGCACCTGAGTGCTCTGATGCCAGGTCTGACTGCCAAGGTCTTCAGGACATACAACGCCTCCATCACTCTACAGCAGCAGCTCAAAGTGCTCACCAACAGTAAGCCAGACACACTGACTGAGCTGTGCAGCAGTTAAACATTACATAAGTAGCTTTTTAAAAAGCACTGGCTCATTTTCTTTACAAGCTAGACAGGTATCAGTAGCTTTACTACTGTAGCATTTTGTCTGTCTGCCTTTCATCACGTTCTTAGTACCTGGCTGCCTGTTTGACAGCCTCCCATGATAAACCTGCCACACATTTGACATTTGTTATTTTTAGCCCTGCGTGATACTGAGATGCCCTGACATCCGCCAGCTACTCCAGCCATGGCAGGAGCGCATTATCACTGTAACCAGAGCTGTGTGTGTCCGCCCTGGCTCTTATCAGGGTCCCATTGGCTACCTCTGCCACACACTGATAGTAGTGTTACTCTCTTCTCATTTCTGGATTGCCCCTGAGAGCCAATTGACAGTTTGACAATGGCTGCAGTTTTTGATCTTCAGACCTCAGAATGAATGAAATACACTTGAATGAAACTCTGGTACAATAGGCGTTTTCTTTCTGCTTTTTTAAATGTGTTATGCTTATATTAATCATGATCAAATATGTGTAAATGGGATTTTCCTGTTTAAATACCATTATTCTCTGTCACCCTCCAAAGAGTCCGACAATTTGGCAGAGAAAATACTGTCCTACAACAGGGCGAACAGAGCAGTTGCTATTCTATGTAACCACCAGCGGGCGCCGCCAAAGACCTTTGATCAGTCCATGGCTAACCTTCAGGCCAAGGTGAGATCAGCTGAGTTTAGTTTATTTCACACAGTCATTCTTCACATTTCCCTTAAAAAAGCACAAGCCGGGACTCTTTTCATGTTGTGATATCCTAACAGGTTATTTTTTTAAAGAAAGCCCAGGCAGAGGATGTGTGTTACCTTCTCCACTCAGTCAATGATGATTTTTGAAACTGACATTAATCCATTTTTTTAATTTATTTTTTTAAACCTGCCTTGTCCTTGTTTGCTTCTCCAAGATTGAATCTCGAAAAGAACAGCTGTCCCTGGCAAAGTCAGAGCTGAAGGAGGCCAAGAAGGAGGCCAAGACAAAAGGCTCCGATCCCAAGCTGCAGCAGTAAGTGTTATAGAAGTACTGGAAACGAACAAACAGCATGCTGTCCCAGTCAAACAATTAAAAATGATTGACTACAACCTTAGATTTCAAGTTCCCGTTTATCTGGAGCCACACACACACACACACACACACACACACACACACACACACACACACACACACACACACACACACACACACACACACACACACACACACACACACACACGAAGAAAACTGAAAGGAACCCTGCAGGTTTAAGTGGCTTTCAAAACAACTCTTTACTGCTGATTTGTGGGTGTATAGCTACAGAACATGGAGGACCTTACATCTTATTTCATGTTTGTTATAGTGGTAGCCCCCCCACTGTTAACACAGCTCGCCAGCTTTTAATTATGTATTGTTGTGCTGTTAGTTGTTACAATGCACTAACACATATGGACTCCTGCCTTTCTGTGTTTTTAACTTCAATTCATGGATGAAAAGTTTGTTCACCAGATATCCATACATAAGCCGTTTCCACATACACACTCCAGATATTATCTAGATCATTTCTGGAGGACTGCTACGGATGCAGCAGTTTAATCACATGCACAGAGATTGTAGTGGTTGCATGCAGACACTCTACACACCGTGCAGCAGTCACTGTAGAGCTGTGCATCTTCACTGGTCTCACCATTCGATTCGATATCACGATTCATCCTCAATTTTCTGTATTACTGCACATGGCTACTTTTTCATAAACAGTCTTATAAATATGAACTCCTTTTGTATAATTAAAAAAAGTGATATAGACAACAATGTCATTATCAATATCTTTACATTGCAAGTTTAAATTAATACATTATATAGGTAGTATAGGAAATAAGTTAACGTTTTTGTGTGTTTAGTTTATTATAAGATGTGTCTGTTTGCGTTCACACATACAGCTCCTCTGGTGAATATCAGGATGTTTTCATGAGTTTTTCATGAGTTTTCTGCAAGTGTGAAAGCACTAAAAGTTCTCAACCAAGGAACACCTTGTTCTGTTGGATATCAGATAACAATTTTCAATCAAAAGTGTTGTGACATTAGAAAGAATAGCTGTATGAAGTTTGCTCTTCAGCCAGCACTAAGTAGAAACTATGTTATTTTAACTTTCTGTCAGACTGTCTTACTAGGGTAGGTAGAGTAACATTTTTAATCTAGAAGTGTTGTTTTACTGCAGGTTGGGCATTTGCCTCTACAGTCAGCTTCTCTGAATATATACTGCATGCTGACAAAAACTTGACCATGAGAGTCTTCTATGGGAGATTTCTAACGGTTTTGTGACTGTCCTTTTATTTTGTGTCAGGCTGGTGGAGCGGAAGAAGGCCGCAGTGCAGCGCTGTGAGGAACAGCTGCTAAAGATGGAGGTCCAGGCGACCGACAGAGAGGAAAACAAACAGATAGCGCTCGGTACCTCCAAGCTCAACTACCTGGACCCACGAATCAGCGTGGCCTGGTATGTCAAAACTTACATATAAGTTACCAACCGCGATGCTCTCATGAAGAAACCTCTGTGGGCCTATTAGGTGTACAGACTAATCAATGATTTACTACACCTGAATAGCCAGTGACATAAAATGAGGCAATATTAATTGTTTTTATGATTGATAGTAAAGTACCTAAAAAAAATAACCTACAGATCTTCAGTCATAATTTTAACCCAAAGTCTTGTTAAAGAGAGTTTAGTTGTCCATTGAAGTTCACAGGTAAAAACTGTTGTTTTCAAAGTCCTTGTGTACTTGTGTACACATCTCTTAAGCCAGGCTAAGATTATCTTGTAGTGTGAGTGGTATAAAGATCCAATCTTAACATCCCCGGAGATGACCGGAGTTCATCCGGTTGCTCCGATTTATTTCCGAACATGTTTGATATTTAGAATTAAAAATCTTGACGAGACGAGGAAGGACAGTTATAAGTAGAGAGCTGTGGCGACCGTTGGCAGGGCGCAACCGGCACTGCTGCGCCGGAAAACTGTAATGCATTTTACAGTTACAATCAGACCTCCAGCTTTCACTGAAGAGCAGACAGTCCATGTTGTCCACGTCTCCCTGATATTAAGTCAACCAAAACTTTAGTATGTTGTTTCCTCTCTGCACAGAGCTTTATCATCGCAAATTTACCCGCCGGCTCCGTTGTTTACATGTGGTCACGTGAGGTGGCGCGTTCCTCTGCTAGGCACAACAATCTTAATGAAATCCTTTAATCTGTGATGTGCCGAGATCTTCATATCTGGAAATGTGTGAGCATGTTTAAGATTATGGAGGAGAATGTCTGTTAAGATTCTCCTGATAGGTGTGATGCTGCCTGCATTCAAAAATCTGGAAAGATTTAAAACTCCTGCAGTGAGCCAGGCATAACTTACACTAATCCATACTGAAATGTTAGTAGTTTATTTGTGCCATTTAGTCAGTGTGCATATGTTTGTTAGTTAATTAAAAGGACATTTGAATTTGAAGTTCCCAGGACTTGTATGTTAGTTGTCGTGGTATTGAAACTGGTATCTACAGCGTCTTTTTTGAGTTTCATATCGGCTTTTGAGGGAGCACAGAGGAGAGGGGGTGTAGACGGAGCACTAAGGGAATGCTAGTTTCCAAAATTACCAAAATAATTTTCTCTCTCGTGTGTTGTAGCCCTTAACTTTTAATGTTATTCTAATCCCTTGTCCTCATTTGGTGAGTTAAGATTCTACGTCTGAATATATCAGGTTTTTAAAAGAAAAGTGTTTAATCCAATCAGGAAGTGAAGCCATGTGTCTGAGTATTTATTCAGCAGTGTTGTGTGAACAATCTTTTTTTCCCCCTGTGCATTCAGGTGTAAGAAGATGGAGGTACCTGTAGATAAAATCTACAACAAGACTCAAAGGGACAAGTTCGCCTGGGCCATCGACATGACGGAGGAAGACTTTGAATTCTAACGTTACACTTCTCTCAGAAGCTGATGGGAGGATGCAGTCAAGGAACCATTCACCTTATAATGCATACAGTACTTCACATTTTTACATGTGTTATATGTTCATAGACTATTGATGTATTTCTGAGATCAGCACTATCAAACACACATTTGTTATCTGCTGTTTGAGACTTTTTGGCACTTGATTTTGATAATCACTTTTGGTTTGTTTTGTTTTTGCATTTACTTGAATAAAAGTTTCTACTATGCAGAAGTGACACGTGTGCGGGGACAGTTTGCAAACATGATTCGTTTAAGGCAGTGGTTCTCAACTGGTGGGTCGGGACCCAAAAGTGGGTCGTGAATGTGTGCATGGAAGAAGAATGCTGTGAAAAAGTCAATGGAGTGTTTTTTTGTTTTTTTTACCAAGCTTGTTTCATTGAGTTTCTTTGTACTATCACGCTTTGTACCATCTGAGGTCCAATGAACTATTTTTCTTTAAATAAATCTGAATGATTGAAAAATATCATAAATTTGTGTCACACTTTTTCATGGAGTAGTTGGTGGGTCCTGAGGCTCGACCAGTTGAGAACCACAAGTTTAAAGGTCCTGACACGCCAAGGAAATCGTCGGCTGTCAGTCCTAGTTGGACTGTCAGTGAGCTCTCATCACCCTCGTTTTTGCTGTGTCCAGCTCCGTCGGCCCCCTCTGCCTTTTTTTGGCCGGTTCAACATGTTGAATCTGCATCGGTCAGAGAGATCTCTCTGATTGGCTGTTTGGAGGTTTCATTTCTCTCCAGCTCTCGTCACAGGTTCAGGAAAACCCCTTGAGCATGCTTTCACCCATTAGTGCGGTTTCTCCTTATTTGTCTCCTCCGCCTCTTCTTTTCTTATTCCACTAGAAGACAAAGGGCTGACAACGCCAGCACCATTTTCAACTTTTTATCAGACATTATTCTCCATTAGTAAGCTACCTTTAATATGAGTGGTGAGCGACAGCGGTGTGAAAATGGTCTTCTTGTATCATAACAATGGACTACCGCCGCCTGCTGGCATGGAGAGGTATTTCCTCAAGTGGTGATTGGCCGTTGGCTGTAGTCGACTAGTTCTTTGCCGTCTGCTTGGCGTGTCAGGGCATTAAGGGTCTCTTAAAAACAATACTTGTACACATGAATGAAAATTCACAACATCTGATAACTGAAGAGAGATTCAGTCTCACAGTTTAGTGTAATTGAAAACAATCAAACATGCAACACTGAACCGTTGAAGATGAAGTGCATCATTAAATACAACTCTGCTTAGGAAAACAAAATCCAGAAAAACACTGAGCACCTCAGAGTGAATTAGATTTTTAAAAATTCACTAAGCACCTGGCCAGATATTTATTATGCAATATACATGACAACCAGCTTCGTATTAAATAACTTTAATAGAAGAAAATCAGATTTGGAATGCATCCCATTGTCGGTAGTAGCAGAGCTGTTTGTGAAAAACTGCAACGTCAGATGTTTGCTGTCCCCGTTCCCCCAGTCTGATGAGATGTACTTTTCAGCACAGACTAAGGCAAAACTGTCCCATCAGCCATCATCTCCTGGGATTTAATTACTTATGATCGATGATGGCAGCCAAATAACCTGCAGGTCAACGAAAAATCCACAAACTGCATTCCTGCACACGAGCAATTTTAGTTCAGAAGGGCATGTCACACTACTCTAACAAACATGGTTAAACTTTTCAAGTCATTACTGTAACCGTTTATCACAATATTCAATATATAAAAAAGCATCTCACACTACTACACACCAAATCAATAGAATTCAGTTTCACAAAAGAAAAGTCTGCTGCTCCTGAAAGTGGGACCGACTTCACATCGGGGTGAGGGACCTGCAAGGGAAGAAAAAAAACAAACGGGCATTTTTTAGTTCACCGATTGCAAGACAGAAGGGTAATATCTCCACACATGTTTACATCTGCAAAGAAACATCAATATATTCAATACATGCTTTAAACAATTCAATATCCATTACTTTATGCATTGACATTTTCAAAGCTTCAAAAAAAATGTCAGATCTTCAGTCATTTTTTTAAACCAAAAACTGCAATAGAGAGTCTAGTCTAACTAGATAGTGTGCATGACTTTTGGCTTTTTTTGTGCCTTTAATGGAGAGATAGGACGGTGGATGGAATCAGTAAACAGGGAGAGAGAGTAGGGAATGACATGCAGGAAAAGAGCCACAGGTGGGATTTGAACCTGGGCTGCCAGCTTGGAGGACTACAGCCTCCATCTGGAGCGCATGCACTACACCACCAGGATTTAACCTGCAGTTCTTTGATAATCAAAATCAATTATCCAACACCCTGTGCCCAGGAACTCTTTTTTTTGTTTGTTTTTTTGATGCCCTGGTATCAAAACAGGTCCCTGAAATCTTCTGATTATAAGGTTCACATCGTAGTTAAGTATTCTGGTATTGAAAACCATGAACAAGCCGATTTTAAATGAGTTCTTCTGACATCATATGAAACTCACTGTGTATATTGTTTATAGATATTTTAAGTGTAGTCGTCTTTTACACATTTAATTGCGGAATCATAAAATTTATGAGATACATAACCATTTCGATTGGCTCCAACAGATCAGCTGCTTTCAGGTTAATTATTGTGTGACAATTCACAACACCAACAGTTTATGAACAAGAAGGGAGAGTTATGTGAGTCAACACTTGCAAAATGTTAGCAACAGAATCAGATGCCCTTTTGTGACTGCTATTTCCCCCAAAAAGTGCCATAACTAAGCTTAACCGTCAGCACGTCTTGGTAAAGTCATATTGATTGCGACGGCTGTTTCGGTGTAGCCGTCTGTGAATTCAGTCAGACATACATGCGTGCATAGTGTGCTGCACTTCCCTGTTGGTTCAGCTGATCCCGTCTCATCTCTGTAACGCCTCTGTTACTTCCTCTGAAGAAGGTACAGAGGGGGGGGGGGTCACTTCATCCCCCCTTTACTCCTCCTCAACATTCAGATTGAAGGTGAAACCTCAGAGGGGCGTAAATATTGCAGCTTGAAACAGCAGACTGAACAGGGCTTGTATGAGTTTCAAACAGGGAATGTACAAGATACCAGAACATCTCTGACGAGGTGTAAACGTTTTTAAAGTGATAGAAGATATTAGTAATTTATCTTCTGGTAACTGTAAGTTCAGAGTCAAGCTGTGTGGGGATCCTCATGTTGGCGCTGCCTATCCCTCCTTACCTTCATTATGAGCCTTGTCCCTCTTTAGCCTTCTCTGGCGGTGCCTCGATCTCTTCCACACCAGCCTGTGTCATCAGGTCAGCGATGTTCTTCTCCAAGTCATCAATTCGCGTGCTCATCTCATCGAGTAAAAAAAAACTGTTAAGGTGATAATCATCATAAGAATGGACTCAATGTATTGCATGTTAACATGTCTGTGTTTGGAATGAGCAAAAAGCTGGAGGACGGGAAAGAGATGAAAATACAAGGAATCAAACATTAAGACTCAAATTCAATAAAGTTAATGACGTTATAGCAGGAATTCAAATCATGAGTTAGGATATTCCTCCCGATGATCTGGTCTGACATGGTCTGGAACTTGTCCTGCATCTGCTGCAGCAGCGTCTGGACCTGTGGAGTAATCGACACAAACACTGTAAGTACAAACATGAAGACTAAAAATAAAAGGATCTACAGATCAAAGTGGGATCATTAAAGAGGATGTACGTAACACCAGTTTGCATAACTATTCACTGCAAACAATACCTCTGCTACTGAAAAACATCAGCACTCCCACTCTACTGAACTCACACTCACCGCGCCTCTGGTATTCGAGGGATTTAACAAAAGTATCTAGTTACCTTGACAACGCTGTAAAAGCTCAGGAACCATGGGAGATGGTTCTTTGACATAACATGGCAAAGATCAACAAACACACATTGACTTAATACTAAACCATATTAGTTTATGAAACATCTGTCGCAAAATACAGCTCTGACATGATTTTAAAAGTGGAATAAGCTTCCCCCACATATATACATACTCAAATAATCCCAAACCTAAATGGATACTCAGGTTTTAATATTCCTTGAATGCTAAAGACTTATTTTAAATAGTACACTAATCTCAAAGGGCAGTTTAATGAAACAGGGGTTACTTAAATTAATAAAACCTATGACATCACTTCCTGTCATGAGGTAAGCAAGTGGAACCTGAAACACATGAATGACATAAAACATCTTACAGTCTTTCATAATCACACTGAGAACTATGACTCTATACCTATTGTGTGATTATCTGTCAGGGTTTACTTTGTTCTTCTGATTAGTGCATGATGTTTTGGCTATATTGTCACTATTACACTCATGTTAATAAAGTTTTTTTTTATACAAAATTACAGTACTTTTTTTTACATAAAAAAGCATGGTGGGCATTTAATGTGAATTAAAAAAAAGGTCAAGGTAAAAATGAAAACTTCTTGTAGAGAAAGTGAAAACTCCTCTAAAGGACAGAAACAGAGAGGGGGTGTTTTAATGTAGGTTACTCATCTCCATGGCAACTCTGTTTCTATCGTTTTCCACAATGAAGTTCCGTGAGTAAAACTTCTCTTATTTAATACGATTTTCTGGCTTTTAAAAAAAACATCTGCTATACAGTAATAATAAGAAACGAGGTTTCATTGCAGTATAACTTGTGTGCATGTGATGCTGTGATATCATGAAGTCTGTTATCAAGATCATTACATAACGTGAAGAATCAAAACAAAAGATGCTATGGCTCTATGTACCTTTTCGAACAGAATCTGCACAGAAACTAATTTTAATTCAACCCATATTAAAGTCCCAACTGCGACTGAAATGTTGGATTGTAGCTCGTATTTGCTTTCTAGCCTAGCTAACGTTAGCTTAGGCTAGCTAGGCTACTGTAGCTAACGCTAGCTGGTCATCACGACCACGACTCACCACATTGGTAAGGTCCTGCACCGACTTGGGATCCGTGTCCGCCATGTTTGGGTGTGACTGACTATCGTTGCCTCGCCAAAAACTTAAATTAAGAATGCTTGCTATCGGAAGATTTTGGCTGTCAGGTTTGTTGCTGTTCGATATAGATAGCAGTCCCTTGCGCCACCCACTGCACGGTCAGCTGTTCCACATCACGGAGAATCTCGCGAGAGTTGGGCCAATGTGCGGCGGAGAAGTGTAGAAAGTTTAGTTTTGAATGAGGGGGAATTATTCTACAGTGTTTACAATTTTTACAAACACTCTATGAAGAAGAAGTTGTGAAGTTAATTTAATTAACACTGTAGCCCATTTAGTGCTGCAACAACCTGCATATTTAATGCTGGAATCTGGTAAGTATGATTGATACTCATACTACACACCGGTATTTATCTGTGCGCGGGCGTGTTTGCTCGTGCACGTTTCTCCTCTCCTCTTGTGCAGGAGTTGGTATTAGAAAGTTAGAGCTGCTAGGGAACCCAGTTTGTTTATGACGCTGAGACTTTGTTGTTTTGGGGGCTTTCTGGAGTGTGGTTTGAAAGACACGCAGTAAAGCGGTAAGTAAAGTTGGAAGTTGTGCATGAGTTACCTGAGAGTTGTTTAATGTTAAACATCTGATGCGGGCTTATATACTCCGTACAAGGAGAGACACACAGACAAGCTGCTGGGCAATGCATGTGTGATGTGAGCTATTAAATAACTGTTCATAACCAGTATAACAATTTTATGAGGCGACGTGTTTGTGGATATAAAAAAGTAAAGCTCAGAGTGGGGAATTGCACATTACACACGTTGAAGTTGCTTTCTGTAGTCTAACATTCATTTATAATCATGTAACCAGATGGTTAAATAGCTGTTGCATTCTGTTGCTTTACTTTCCTGATTGCTCCAAACTGATGTCTGTATGTTTAGACATGTTAGTGACCCAACCCCACGGAGCTATGCTTTGCTTACATAACACAGAGTTCTCTTACTTGAGGTGGCCCCACGCATTTACAGGCTACTTACCATAGAGTGAGAGGTTTCTCCCACCAACAACAGGCTAAAGGAAATGACCAAAAGACGCCCATGATTGTTCAACCCCATTGTAATGTTTAACTGTAGGAAACCAGTAAAAAAGACATTTGTGGATTGCATCAAAGAGCTTCTCTGTTTCTCAGTTTTGCTTTCATTGCACATGGTTAATGCCTTACAAAGGTGACGGGGAGCTCTTTACTGACGTTTAGAGAATTAAAGAAATGGATTTTGCTCCATGGAAAACCATCCGCTTTACACTTTTCTTCAGAGCAGCAGACTCTTGGATTGGACATTATGTTATAACTTGCAGAAATGTAGTGTTAAGTAACAGATATCATAAGAGCAATCAGATCCCTTTAAACTTCAAGATGACCCTGCGCCCCAAGTACAGTTTATCTGCCAATCAATCCTGAGTGAGATTTTTCTTCAAGTCACCACCATGGAAACCAGTCAGTGAGGTTTTTTATTTTGCCTTCCTTGTTATTGTGTTGAGCCGGGGTTGTCTGACTCTAAGATCTGACTGACTAGTCAGCTGACACTAACTGCAAACTATGTCGGGGAAACAGGCATAGGCTGTCTGTTTTAAACTTGACAAAGGAGTTCATATTGTTATTACATAGCCACAAGAAAAAAACAGACACACAAAAATCATAGCATGTCCATACCCACACCTATTGCACAGTAGGTTGAGTGTAGCAACAAACGGGCAGTGGAATTACACAATTTCCATTTCCAGGAGTTGTTTATCTGTATAATTAAAGCACATTGCCTGGAAAGTAATGAATCCCTCTGTTTGTTCTGTAAGGTGCTCCAGAGAAAGAGGGAATTACTGAACAATGTGTTTTAATCTCCTCAACAATGGCTGCTAATACTTGGTGCTAACACCTCAATTTGACGGATTAGAGTTCTAAAGTTTGACTAGTTGTAAAACAGGATAAAAAGTTTTGTGGTGATACGCTGAATTGTGAGAACACTCAGTTAGGAATATCCCCTTTAGGCTGCACAATCAAAATGCATCATTACTGCAATATGAGAATTCCCCATTAACACATTGCAAAATTCTGATTTATTGCAATAGTAAATTATTGTCAACAAGCAATGCTTTCACACTTAGCACTGGTACATTTTACTATCAGGTGGATGCCTGGTTATTGTGGCCATGCTCTCAGACCATTATTCAGTCAGATGGAGCTTAAACTCTCCATCAAATACCTTCAGCCTCAAACTATTAACAAACTGGTGCCAATTTAGTGTTTAGAGGGACAGAGGGACGTGTTGCCAACAGGTATTGTGTAAAACATGAAGTAGTAGATAGTCAACAAATACTGTTGTCCATATCTAACATGCACTTATATTTTTTGTTGATGCATTCATTGTCACATTGAACAATGTAATCATGCAACACCTAGCCTCACTGTTTTGTATTTGAAGGAAAGTTGTTCAAACATACTTCCATTAAGACTTCTTGTACTCACTCTAAAGCTACTGACACGTCTCAGCCTGGACACCTCAGCAGTGCCCCTGATACCTACATGTCACCTCTGCCTTCTCTGGTTATTTCACCTTTGAGTGTTTTCACTCCCTCTTGTGTTTCACACTCTTATTCCCCATTTCTCACCTATAGTTCTGGTCCAGCCATTTGGCAGCCAATGCATTTAACACACATCTGTAGCGTTGCAATGTCAGGCATGTCCTGCACAGCACAATTAAATCAATCAATCAATCTTTTAAATCAAGTATTTTAAATTATTTTATTTTATATACTTTATTAATCTGGAGAGAAAATAAATCTTTTCACTCTGTCATTGTGAGACATGTTACACAAACACATATATTCACCAAAGCATAAACAGGATCTTTAGATGTTCAATAATGGAGAAGATGTCAAGCGTGAGGAGGCTGCATAAGGCCTGGCAACCTCAGCATTTGGGGGTTGGTGCCTTACTCAAAGGCACCTCAGCAGTACTCAGGAAGTGAACTGGAACCTCTCCAGCAACCAGTTTCAAAGTCCTTACAGACTGAGCTACTGCCGCCCAGATGGAATAAACTCATCATGTCAGATGAATGCAAAAGCGCTCTGCAAAAAGCAGCAACACAAAGGAGATACGACAACACAAATATAGACACAGCAACTCAACAGTGACGACAAAACAAATGCAGACACCAGAACAAATGCATGATGCCTCAACACAAGTGCAAAAAACCCAAACAGCATGAATTCATAGTCCATAGCATGAAGGCAATGTTATTATGTTTACAGAGGTGTTGTGACTTTTTCTATCTCATTTCAGGGGAGTTATGAGGCTTTGTATGCTCTGAGGTGGTCAGATTTGAACATATTAACTAAAATAATGATTACACTTTTATTACTAAATAGTTTTATTCAAGGGTCTTTGAAAATAAATTGTAAAAAAAATACTTCTTTATTGACACAAACATTTCTTACCACATAATCAACCATACTTTTTTCCTTTGTATCATTTACACCTCAGCCTTTCCCTAGAGTCAAAATTCTTCATCAGAAAAAAGTTGTTTTCTGAGTTTTCATGTAAAAACAAGTGAAAACTTTCTACCCGTTAGGCCTTGGCCATTGTATGTCATTAATTTGAGGTAAAGGTCAAAGGTCAAGATACAGAACTATTGTTCATTTTCCTAATATAACGACAAACAATTAAAACATTAAAAAGTATTGCTGTTCTCCCAGCCCATAGCAGTGTAACCAAAAAATAACAAATATATAAAGATGTACAAAAAAAACTATTTTGAAGGTGTACAAACTGGTGATAAAAGTGAGGAGCATACTGTATAAAGGGGAAAAGTATGTAGATGCCTGTTTGCCTTGATTAATAGCATCTTTCTTTCCTCATTATATTGTTGTCCTTGAGAAATCTAACTTGTATTTCAAAATAGTTTGATGTATTGACCTGTCGAAACCTGGTATTGTACCTTGTTGTGAATGTTCTTGAGTGCATCTTATTTTGTTTGTCTGTATAACTGTGTAGTTTTTGTTAAATTGAAAGTGTAATATTGAAAATCTCAATAAACACACTTGTTTAAAAAAGTGAGGAGTATTTAGCAGCTGCAATGTGATAAAGGTGCTCTGTGTGATAGATGATCATATGATTGCAGAGATTCAGTGTGACTGGAGCAGCTATAATCATCTAAACAAGAAAAAACAGAACGAGTCATTGTGTAACCTAGTAATAATGAATCTATCACCAGTAAGTTTCACTGCTGGTAGGCTCCTGTTCTTTTAACTTGGAGCAGTCTTTAGCTATACCTCTGCAGAACTCTCATTATTTTGACTGTGACCTGTCATCAGACTGCCCCTCAGGTGAAACCTCCAAACCCTCCGGACACCTCTGAGCGTCTCTGGGTGTGATGGAAGCAGAGGTGCTTCTGCAGGATGACGTGGAGGGCTCGGGGACAATGCTGTCCTGGCTGGCATCCTGCCTCATGGTGTTTGGAGGGGCGCTGCCCTACGTGCCACAGTACCAGGAGATCCAGAGGAGCAACAACAGCGACGGCTTCTCTACCAGAGTGTGCCTGGTGCTGCTCATTGCAAACATCCTGCGTATCTTCTTCTGGTAAGGGAGGGAGAAACCCCCCCCCCCCCCCCCGTGATATGACTGTCCCTCTGTTTACAATCTCACTTCCTTTATTTTTCCCTTTGGAAGGCCCAGAGTATTTACAAGGTCATCCTTCCGATCTGTCGTGGTGTCAGAAATAAATGGGAAAGGGAGAAAGGATCACAAAAAAATGATTTATTATGGCATCTATAAGGCCATATGCCGTCAACTTTGAGGCCTCCTCATAAATTGTTTTATAAATCATGGAGCATGGGTCATTTATCCAGAAGGGAATTCAATCAAAAAGATATAAATACAATATTATAGAAGATTGTGTTATTTAAAAAGGGCTTCTGTGCGGCTCCCAGCCTTGATGACTTTGAAATCCATAGAATTTAATATTGGACTCTGCTGTGTGTTATCTATGCTACCAGCTGTCTGATCTGCATTCTAGGTGTATTTCTATAAGCTCTCTCTGAAATATTAAAGTCTGAATTCAAACTCTGGAACATGATTCTTTTTTTTTTTTTGTCCTTGCAGGATAGGGAAGCAGTTTGAGCTCACCCTGCTGCTCCAGAGTGTGGTGATGATCCTCACCATGTTTGCCATGCTCCACCTCTGCTGCATGGTCCAAAACACCAACCGAGTGAGCACCAAGCAGCACCGACTCTCAGGTAACAGGCTCTGTGTCACGATCGTCCTCAACAGACAAAGAAATGCAACCAGCCGTGCAGTCAACACAGACACAACACAACATCATGTTTACACAGAGAATAGTCTTCCAGCACTTCTCTGTGTCAGCAGTTTAGATGCCAAATACTTCAACTTCTACTTCTTGCCAAAAGAGGGGGCTATTGTAAAAGCTTATATGGCAAGCTGCTGCTTTCAAAATTCATCATCTCTGTAAGCCATTGAAAGATGCTCACACTAATGGTTAAAATGTGTAACAAATGAAAGTGAATGTGTAACTGTTCCAAATGCTGTTTTAGTTTTTGTCATGACTCACATGTGGTCAGTCTATTTCTGTCCATGTATTTGAGGTGTGTGTGTGTGTGTGTGTGTGTGTGTGTGTGTGTGTGTGTGTGTGTGTGTTGAAGTATCTTTGTGTGTGTGTGTGTGTGTGTGTGTGTGTGTGTGTGTGTGTGTGTGTGTGTGTTGAAGTATCTTTGTGTGTGTGTGTGTGTGTGTGTGTGTGTGTGTGTGTGTGTGTGTGTGTGTGTGCAGAGATTATATTCAGGGTCACTCTTTGACGGGTGCTCTCTTTTATGGGCAATTGTCTTGTTTTTAAAGACGCTGCAGTTGATTGGTTTTTGAAAAAGTGCTGACAGAAATTCAGTCTTAGTACTGTTTTTAATAAAGACCGTTCTATGCAGTGAAATTGAATGATGGGGTCTTTTAACTCCCTGATGTTGAGCTGTGTGCATTAATAAATATATCTGTTGGATTTTACGTTGATTGATTTGTAAGGACGGAAAATGTGTCAAAAATCCCATATCGGTGGGGACCCTAACTCAAATGATATCGATACCTGTTTCGATACCACAGCAACAAAAATACAAGTCCAAGGCAAGAAAATCTCCTGCATCCTGTCTGAATTGCACAATCAGCAATGTGTCGCTAAAACTCCAAAAGGATTACCATCAGTATTTGTCGACCTGTGAATTTGAATGAACCACCGCTGCTCTCTCTCTCTCTCTCTTTCGCTGCCCGGAGCTTTCCTTCAAAAATACGTGTGAGGATCTGTAGTTTAAAGCTTCTGTACTTTTGTATACTTTGGTCATCAAGATAATGGAGATGAAATAGTTTGAAGTATGAAAGGATTGGACATTTGACAGCCGTGGTCTGTTTGATTTTTTGAAGTGTTTTGATTGAAAACAAGAGACTGAATTTGTGTGTACATGAGAGCACAAACCTTTCATATTATAGCATCTGTGCTCCTTTTGTCTCCGCACAGCGCTGCTGTATTACTCATCATGAACACCATTTTTTATTTAAGCCCACGCTTAAACTTTTCATACCCAATGTGTTCATTTATGGAGAGCTGTGTTGGATCGCTTGTTTTCTCTGAGGGTAGATGATTTCTTGTACTTGCTCAGTGTTCATACACATTTTTTTAAAATCCTCTGGACGAGTCTGCCTGCGAGCCACGTACTTTAAATGTTTAGTGGAGGGTTTGAAACAGAGAGATTATTGATTAGAAGTGACGCAGGCAGGGATGAAATATTTCACACATGAGTGTGTCCATTTTGAGCGAGCTTACTAAAACACTCTGTTACATAAAGCCCCCCTCTCTAGAGGGCGAGCCTGAGGTCCGGTTTCACAGAGCCAGGGTCCAATGGGGGATGGTGGGTCAGGATATGAATAGAACAGCCTTTCGTCCTAACCGTCCGCTCCTCCCTCCGTCCGCTCCATGCTAAGTCTTCCCAGTAGATCAGGGTTATTTCTATGCAGAGTGGTTTCTTCCTCCCAAAATACACATTGGCATCATTTCTTACGATATCTGAAGATCTTTCATGCTGAGCTCTAATCTCTGTCATGTCTCCCAAAACTTTCCCATTCAGTGCTCTTTATGTCTCTTCTTTCACCTCCCTCCTTTTTTCCCACCTTCCTCCACTTTTCTTCTTCTGTCCTTTCTCTCCTCTTCCTGTCCGTCTGGTGCCGCTTAATCTGCTCCCGCCTCTTCTACTCTTTTTTCACTCCCTCTAACTTCTTATTTCAGAAGAGACATCTGAGACTGAGGACCATGTGTGCCACACTAGGGTCATCTATGATTTTGCCAACACCTGTTCCCCGCTCCCTGCTAGCTGACCTCATTTCCTGGTTGCTCAAGTCACACACAAAAACCTCACAGGGAAAAATCCCTCAACCTGGTGAAAGGGAGATTTCTAGATGAGGTTCTGATGTTCTCTCTGTACATACGTGTGTTTTCTCTCTAGTTTCCTCCGCAAAGATATCGTTGTGAGCACATTGTGGTGATGGTGCTGTAACTATGAAATGAAACAGAATCTATGTTTGTTTTTTTACAGCCCATTCCAATGACATTCAGCCAGTAATAACCAGAATAGGTTAAACTCCATGAATTTGGGGAGGGCAGTAGCTCAGTCTGTAGGGCCTTGTGTTGGGAACCAGAGGGTCGCTGGTACCAAAGTATGGAAGTACATCTGTATGCCAGTTGACTTCCTGAGTAATACAGAGGTGCCCTTGAGTAAGGCAAAAAAAAAAAAAACAGTTCTGGTGCGCTCCCTGTGTAGCAGTGTGTAGCAGCAATCTAAAATCTCTTATAATTCATATCCACAGGTCCACAGGTCCACAGCATGTGTGTAACTCAGACCTATGTGTGTGAGAAACATGTCTCTCAATAACAGAGTGTAAACTCAGGGACTAATAAAGTAAAAAAATGTGGTTGTTGTTTAGTTAAGAAAGGTCCAAAGTGAAAATATGTTAAGATAGGCCATACAGTCCATATAGCGTTTTTCCAGGTAGAAAAGCGCTGGCTGTGCGCTCGGAAGTGCTCGCATTAAGCGTTTGTGCGCTGAGACAAGTTTCTATGACAACAGTCTGTTGACAACGGACGCTGTATGACCGACACTGCTCCTTACTTTTTACTGCAGGCAATGTTTTACATTTTAGACCATTATTTCCCGATCAGACACAGAGCGAGGAGGATGTAGGTACAAGACACGACCTGTAGGCGGCAAAACTACAGAGAATATCACACATTTGAAAAAGAGCGGCGGTGATGTCAACAGCACCTTTCTGAAAAAGTTGAATGATTTTCAACTTGAGTGCTCAGAGCGGGTGCGGAGCGCTGTGGTTTTTCTCTAGGTGACCTCTTACTGCTGAGAACGCTCTCTACTCATTGAACACTTTTGAACAAAGATGCTGGGCCTCTGAAAAAAACGCTAGGTGGACACATGAGTTATGGTCTCTAATGAATACATTGAACTGAATAATATACCACGTGTGGAGCCTGCATGCTTCCTCAGCAGAGTCTTTGTTATGGTCCCTTCGCGGAGCTGACTCAGAGTTCTGACTTTGCAGTGACTTCCAGTGGTCGCCTCAGGGTGCCACATCAACAGTCCTGGCCTTATGATGGAGGGAATTGGAGGCTGATTGAGGGGCAGAGCGGGGAGAATAAATATTCAAAGGCAAATGTGACCTGAGGCTAAGAGTCGTGCTGCGTACAATGGATGTAACTTTGAACAAATGGAAGTAGAAAGTGCATGGACAAGGGAAACAGAGGGAGTAAAGTTCTTATTGAATTACTCTCATATTCTATAAATTATTTACTCGTGGGAACATTTATGGATTTTCTGATTTGAGCACCTTCTTTCTTTTTATATTGAATAAAGAGTGGAACAATGTCCTCCTCTTCTGGTCGGATTGAGTAAAGCACCATGAGACTTCATCTCATTAGATCAGAGCAGAAAATATTTTTTTAATCTGTGTAACCTGTGCAGACATTTCATACTCCTTTACATTTTTTCCACATTTGGCCGGCCGATCCTCTCCACTCTCGCCTACAACACTGTTTTGTGTGAGTCAGCCAGCAAGGTGCCACAACTTGTATTTAACATCCTGTTTGTGGCAGCCAGAGAGAGCTTAGCCGACCAGAACAGAAGAAGAGATGGGACTCCTGATAGCTGGCACTGACCTCGCGGTCATCCTTAAAACCATTAGCGCTCAAGTGCTGAAAGCAATTTCAATTTGTTCTAGATAACCTCCCCAGGAGAGGTTAGACGCAGCAGACATGAACTGTGATAGGAACTGTTGTGTGCTCCGTCAGTGGCTAATTCTTTGTTTATAATGCTGCAAAATTTTACTTTCATTGCACTTTTCTCTACACAGGCAGGAACAAGTGAAAACCTGTTCTGTTTTCCTCATAAATGAACATGATAGCTGCTTTATGCAGCTGCAGTCCTCTGCTGCTCTGAGGAGAGGTAACTGAAATGAAACCTTGAGGGTGTTTTACACTCTAAAATTTAAAGAGAACCATTGAAGTACACTGTTAAATATATGACTAAATAAAACACACATAACTAATGATGGGGTCAGTGCTTTTCACTTGTTGACATGAAGTCGAATATATGACTTAACGTTGAACTTTTTCACTTCCCAGTCCTGATGCTGCTTTTTGTCTTTAGTAATCTCCAGTCCACATTCAACCTCTGAACCCTATTTGTGAGTTGTGACCCTGCATGGGCCCATTCATTCAAAAGTGTCTCCACATGATTTTTCAGTAATCCTTGCAGACTTCAGTTCCCTGCAAATCAACACACGTATCACACATTCCCGACACTCCTAACCCTGTGTCCTAACAGCACGCTAACAAGCGTTAGATATGGCATCACATCGTGCATGATCGCACGCTGACTGTCCACACTGCACGATAAATATTTCATTCTATCCTCGTGAATTTCAGTTCAGTATGACATCTAGAGCTTTTGTACTGACGGTGGCTTATTGAATGTGTGGTGCTTTGTATTGACGATCTGTTGACTCAAATCACAACTCTCAGAGACTCGTCAATGTACACTCGCCGTGAGCAGGAAAACGTTTTTCTCTGTTGTTTTTGACACAAGTCAAAGAACGACATTTCATTCACTGATGTGGATTTTATTAAGGCACCACTATCTCCGCTTTCTAAAACAAGCTAGCAATCTCTGTGGAGAGG